ACTAAGTCGTTTTTATGAATTTTTATGGTATGTCGTTTTTATGACTTTTTATGCCTTACTATACTATGACTTTTTATGCCTTACTATACTATGACTTTTTATGCCATACTATACTATGTCATTTTTAAGACTTTTTATGCCTTATTATACTATGAAATTTATATGACTTTTTAATGCCTTACTATACTATGACTTTTTGTGACTTTTTATGGTATGTCGTTTTTATGACTTTTTATGCCTTACTATACTATGACTTTTTATGCCTTACTATACTATGTCGTTTTTATGAATTTTTATGGTATGTTGTTTTTATGACTTTTTATGCCTTACTATACTATGGCTTTTTATGCCTTACTGTACTATGAGTTTTTATGACTTTTTATGCATTTATATATAATAACTTCTTATGCCTTACTATAGTATGATGTTTTTATGACTTTTTATGCCTTACTATACTATGACGTTTTTATGACTTTTTATGCCTTACTATACTATGACTTTTTATGCCTTACTACAGTATTACTTTTTATGCCTTACTATAATATGACGTTTTTATGACTTTTTATGCCTTACTATACTTTGTCGTTATTATGCCTTACTAAAATGTCGTTTTTATGACTTTTTGTGTCTTACTATACTATGACGTTTTATGACTTGCTACACTACGTCGTTTTTATGAATTTTCATGCCTTACTTTGCTATGACTTTTTATGCCTTACCATACTTTGTCGTTTTTATGACTTTTTATGCTTTACTATACTATGACTTTTTGTGACTTTTTATGGTATGTCGTTTTTATTACTTTTTATTCCTTACTATACTATGACTTTTTATGCCTTACTATACTATGTCGTTTTTATGACTTTTTATGCCTTACTATACTATGTCTTTTTATGGCTTACTACACTATTACTTTTTATGCCTTACTACACTAAGTCGTTTTTATGACTTTTTATGCCTTACTATACTATGTTGTTTTTATGACTTTTTATGCCTTACTATACTATTACTTTTTATGCCTTACTATACTATGTCGTTTTTATAACTTTTTATGCCTTACTATACTATGAGTTTTTATGACTTTTTATGCATTTATATATAATAACTTCTTATGCCTTACTATAGTATGATGTTTTTATGACTTTTTATGCATTTATATATAATAACTTCTTATGCCTTACTATAGTATGATGTTTTTATGACTTTTGATGCCTTACTATACTATGACTTTTTATGCCTTACTACAGTATTACTTTTTATGCCTTACTATAATATGACGTTTTTATGACTTTTTATGCCTTACTATACTTTGTCGTTATTATGCCTTACTAAAATGTCGTTTTTATGACTTTTTGTGTCTTACTATACTATGACGTTTTATGACTTGCTACACTACGTCGTTTTTATGAATTTTCATGCCTTACTTTGCTATGACTTTTTATGCCTTACCATACTTTGTCGTTTTTATGACTTTTTATGCTTTACTATACTATGACTTTTTCTGCCTTACTATACTATGTTGTTTTTATGACTTTTTATGATTTACTATACTATGACTTTTTATGCCTTATTATACTATGACGTTTTTATGACTTTTTATGCCTTACTATACTATGTCGTTTTTATGACTTTTTAAGCCTTACTATACTATGACTTTTTATGACTTACTACACTATGTCGTTTTTATGAATTTTCATGCCTTACTATTCTATGACTTTTTATGCCTTACTATTTACTATACTATGACATTTTTATGACTTTTTATGCCTTATTATACTATGTCGTTTCTCTGACTTTTTATGCCTTACTATACTATAACTTTTTATTCCTTATTATACCATGTCTTTTTTATGACTTTTTATGCCTTGCTATACTATGACAATTCCATAACTTTTTATGCCTCAATATACTATGATGTTTTTTTGAACTTTCATGCCTTATTATACTGTGATATTCTTATGACTTTTAATGCCTTGCTATGTTATGAGGTTTCATGAATTACTTTACTATGACATTTTTATGCCTTTCAATGCTGGACTATACGAATATGTTTTTATGACGTTTTATTCCTTACTATACCATGACTTTTTCATTCCTTATTATACTATGACATTATTATGACATTTCATGCTGTTTTATACTATGACGTTTACATGATTTTCATGCCTCATTGTAGTGTGACGTATTTAGGATGTTTTATGTCTTACTATATTATGATCTTTTATGCCTTAATATACTATGATGTTTTTCTCACATTTTTATTCCTCATCATATGACTTTTTTATGCCTTATTACAGTATTATAATTTTTTATGCCTTATTACACACTGAAGCTCTTGAGGCACATTCACCATCCGTTCCCAGCAAGAGACCGCACTTAACGTCAGAGAAAACTTACAACTGATCGATCAACAGATCAATGTCGCTATCAATAGAGTGATGTTTTCACTGTGACTAAGACAGAGCCACATAATAAAATAAACTTGTTTTTATATTATGAGCAGTATTCCAGCATGAAACTGAAGTGCCCCTTTAAGAATATTTCAAATACACAATGGAAGCTCATTCTCATATTCAACTTGTCATCACTTTATTGTTTTGTCATTGTACATTTTTGTAATTGGACATTCTGTAAAAGAAACAAAAGAGGAAAAAAAAACAGAAATAAGTTCCTTTGAAAGTCATCATGAGCGTCATGCTTCTGGCTAAAACGATGACAGGAATCATAGAGAGCGCCACAAACAGCAAAACGCAACAAATACAAAGCTGTTTTCTTTTATTTACATTGTAAACCTCTCAATCATACATACACATGCATGACTTGGGCCACTTAAAAGTCCATCTGTAAAAAATCTCCCCTGGCATGTGCACTTCCGACAGCAGGAGAGGAGTGTCTGTCTTTATGTACGACAGCAGCCAAGTGTCAGAGCTCAGTAACTCTCGACATAATACCAAGGGCAGAGGGTGGTACAGTGAATAGGATATGGTATCTGATGGAATGGAAATAAATGAAAGAGTAAAGGTCTTTACAGGAGTACACTCATTTGAATGGAGGCTGCCACTGATGCTTTACAGAGCAGTCATGTCCCATAGCAAGTGGCAGGGGTAACTTAAATATTTAGCCTTGTCTCGCTCTCTTCAAGCAGCTCATTAACAGCTGAGGGGTAACTGATTCAAATGAAGGAAGGGGTGGGCACAGGACGACGAGTTGTTCCATTCATTCATCTGTTTTTGCCCCTGGAGAATCAGGGTTGATCGAGGCACCTGTCCCTTCTCTGTATAGCCCTGCACTGACAAATCACCTTTTTTTCTGTGCAAAAACAGCTACTACTACCATTATATATATAAAAAGTGAGCACTTGTGAAGCACTTCAGCTCTTCACTAAAACCAGTTTGATGTTAACCATTAAGACTACGATAAATACAACTCCAATAAATGTTTGTGTGAAGGACTGACCATGCCCTGCTTGCTGTGCAGGTTTAGTATCATTATCCTTTCACATTTAATTTATTTTTGTTTAGGAGCAAATTTTAGCTGGTAACAACCACCACTAACTACAGTTTACTGCAATTATATGTTCCTGTGTGCCAGTGCTTTGCAGGACCTTATCTGTCACAAGGCAGCAGAGACCTGTATTTGAGATGTACAGTACAGCAGAGTTAGACTGCTATTGACCTGCCAGTATTGTCTTTAAAGGATTAATTTGAAAATCAGAATTTTGGCTTTCTTGCCAAACAAAAAATGTGCCTACTAGCACCTTTAAAACTCACTAATTAACATCAGTCTAATCAGTCCAAAAACATCTTCTCAAAAAGTCATTGAGCATAGCCAAGAAATAGTCCAGATCACAACTTCACGTTTTTTTACATGACACGTTGTGGTATTTGGACGGATTAAACAAATGAGATATAATGTGATAATTAGTGAGATTTACAGATGCTGGCAGGTGGATATTGTTACCTTTGGACACTCCTTACCTAATTTTTTCCACCCAGTCTTTGTGCTAAGCTAACTAGCTGCTCGTGGTCGTTTCAAATCCAACAGAAAGTTATGACGATCAGTCTTCTCATCTAATTCTTGGCAAGAAAGTGGGTAGGTGTAACAATTTTTCAACTGTCATGATTATGGTGTAATTTGATGTGTGATTTAGCTACAGTAAAATACAGTGGTTCTCTATGGGAAGTTCTTAGCTTGAGTAGCTCGTCAAGTCACATTTCTAATCAGGTTCCACCCATGATCTAAATGCATTTTAAATCTTTTAGCTGAAAAATACCTCAAAAGGTGCAACCAGTTGAAACGGAGAAAAAAAACCCAAACAAAAAAGACCATGAGTTGTAATGCAAGGGTATAAGTATCAGTCTACACTGTACACATCTAATATGAACACTGTGGATTACATTTCAATGCTCTTCCCCTTACACTTGAGCACTGTCAGAATGATGTCTACCACTACTGGTAGCAAGACGTGAGACGTGATCTTGCTGGCTTTCAAAAATCTTTTTACGTATTTTACACATACTGTATCATACATTAGATCCAGACTCCAGATATCTCACAACAAAAATGGTCCTTTGAAATAACCTTGACAAACAGCCACTTTGCACTTGTTTCCATAACTGCATAGTTCAGCAGGCATCCAGCACTGCTAAGGCTACACTGACGGCATGGTTGATGTGTACTTCTTTTTTATAAGTTACTACTGGAAAAGCTTCAAACCGTACTTGTGTTACAGACTTTTAAATTCAAAAGGTTCCTCCTCCTTGTCATTTCTGTGTTGACTGTAGCGTTTCCTTTTCTCCAGTGACTCCAGCGGCTTTACCCAACAGTCCACTGCTTCAGGGCATCGGGTTCATAGTCCCATTCAGAGCTGTTCTTTGTCGTTTAGAAGAAATGGACCAATATTTTGAGATTAATAAAAGACCCATTGTTTTGGAAGGAGAAGCTAATATTTTGATTACAGTTGTGGTTAACATGGTCACACCAGGACATGGAAACTGAAGTAAAAAATAATAGAACATTTAATTTATCCTTTCTTGTGTTACAATGCAGAACTTCCCATCATAATTTCCATCTGTATCAGTTCAACACGACAAAGTTAACACCATAACCACAGTTAGACTCTCCAACCCTTCCCTGATCTGTAAAGTCTCTGACACAAAACCATAGTCACATTTGAAAAGAGAGATAATGGAAAAACTAAAGACAGAATTTACGTAAGGAAATTAGATGAATGTTTCCCAGGAGGTGTTTGAAAGAGATTTAGTCAGAGATAAATCCTGGGATGACAAAAATAAAAACTTGGATAAATTAGACTCATAACACAAAATGAAAAGACAAAACGAACATGTGCAGAAACCATGGTTTAACAAGCTTTGGCCCACTGTGTTGTGTGCAAGGTGAAACAGCAGAGGACATTAACTGTCCCATCAGAGGGGAATTCCCTCTGAGTCTGTCCTAGAGAGAGGAGGAGGAAAGAAGCGAGGGAGAGAGGGAGAGAGAGAGAGAAACAGCTGGTTTAGCTCTGCCACCTTGCTGTTCTTCCCCCATGAGGCCAGTGGGTGGGGCTGTTACGCCGTAAAAACACCCCTCTTGTTCCCTCTAAACACAAGTCAGTGCTTGTTGGACATGAAGAATAAAAAATATATATGTAAAAAAACAAATGTGACGAAAAAACAAAGAAAAGCCCCCAAAAATCAGCAGCGATGGTGACGACTCAGTCGATCTTGACTGCAGCGTAGATTTTCCTGATGAACATGTAGGCTGCGTAGAAGCCGATCGTGCCCGTTAGCAGCCAGAACGACAGGACCATCAGGGTCGTATAGCCGAAGTACAACAGGGAGGGGATGAACTCCACTATATCCAGCTGGGTAAGAATAAACAAATGAGGAATCAGTTTCAGCATGCTGTCCATTTAGCCTTCACTCCCATAGAGCTGGTGGATTTGCAACAGCTGGACTTTAAAGAACTGTCAAAAATCAAAACAAAAGAACCTGACATTTTCTGACCATTAGTTCCCTGTAACTAACCTTTTCAGTCACAGGATCCTTACCATTACAGCCTTCATCAAGCTGTCAAAGTGAAGGTTTCTGTCATTCATAGAGATCTCTACTATACTCACTGTGTTACAGCTTTACTCAGACACAACAGGATGTTTATGACAAGAGCCAGAGAGCCAGAGTGCCAGATTTTAAATGGTATTTAGCATTGAAGTTTCTAGACCCCTCCAGTCACAAAATGTCTTTTCTTGTTGCTTCAGCCCAGCCATTTGAACTTCACTGGAAGTTGTTCACCTGTTTGGCTCATTTTAGTGCTGACTGACAATCACCGTTTGTACTTACTGATAGGTTTTACCTAGATAGAGCAGTAGGCTACAATTGGTTACCTGTGGTTGGCCTTGCTGTGTGTCACTCAGAAAACAGTCAGCCAATCAGAAGCGAGACTCAAAAAACAACCTACATTGAGATGGTTTTTGATATTTAAAAACAACAAAAATATCTTCAAATAAGACACTAGAAAAGTGTAACATATGGGACCTCTCAGACTCAGTTCCCTAAGTTTATAACAGGTTTTCTGCCAAACATTAGAAGCCTAAATAAAAAAAGCCCTGATGACATTGCGGTTACTAATTATTTCACACAATGAGTGCTATTAAGACACTGATGTCTTTAGCTGCAGTAGAATCAAACGGGGCTTTACCTTGTTGACAAAGTAGAAGACAGCGTAAATGAGGACGTAGAACGCTGAGCCTCCTGACACCAGGAAAGTTCTCCACCACCATCGGTAGTCCTGATAGTGACGAGAGACAGACACAACACAGCACAGGGGTGTGTTTATGGATGATGCAGATGAGGTTCAGGTAGGACCAGTAGAGCACAAATCTGAGTCTAACTGCAGCATACTTCAACACTGAGAACATAAACTTTTATCAAACACTACAGCACTTTCTTCATACTGCAAATGACCACTAGATATTGTCTATAAATGGTTTTTAATGTAAGTAAAGCTTCTATTTTATTTTGGTTTTTAACCTGTATTTGTTCACATTTTGGAAAATCTGCACCATCAGAAATCATGGTTTTCAGCTACAAGCAGATTATGTTTGCACTGTAACCTCTCAACTTTGATGGCTGGTACATGTGGGATTTAAATTCTGCTTTAATAGAGCATGGTGGAAAATGTTTATAGTGATTATGGTTACATTGATCAACTGCTTATATGGATGATCAAAAAGCTCAGTACAGAATCAATGCCACACAAATGGTTAAATAATTTTTTGCAGGTGAGTGAAGTGTCATGTTTTCACCCTGTTCTGTTATTTTATCTTTAAATCAATAAATCGCAAAACTGTCTGTTTCATTACTTTATATTCATGTAATAAATATACAAATGTCAATGATATCTGCATGAGAAATAAAGAAAGAGGAAGAAATGGTTATAATCATCCTCTGCTTATAGTGATCAATGTGACACACACAAACGAGATCACTATATACACAGCTTTCCACTTATTCCATGTTTTACTTTCATTACTTCATCTGGAATCAAATACATCAGAAGATTAACTTGATCCTTGAAAAATGTAAGTTGTGCTTATTCCAACAATTTGTGTATGAAGTCTGAGTATGAGGAAACCTTCAACCAGCTACTCTCTGGAAATGAGCTGCAGAGCATCCCAACCAAATTCCCACGTTAATCTTTTTCATTATATACTTGACTCCAAAAGAAGAGAGGTCAATTACAGGCTACAGTGCTGATGTTTATTAAAAGCCTCAATGAACTTACCTCTGCACAGAGCTGGAAATAAACCATGACAATGCTGATCTGAGAGCAGGAGACCACCAAGATGATGAATACCAGAAACAGGAAGCCAAAGAGGTAATAAAACTGATTCTCCCAGATGGCCTGTAGGTGGTGACACACACACACACACACACACACACACACACACACACACACACACACACACACACACACACACACACACACACACACACATTAACTTATATTTATGTGTAAGTCATTACAGTAAGTGAGGACTAAACCACCCGACTTCACATAAGTTACTTATCCGCCAAATGATACTTCTATCAGTATTAAGTTTGAATTTATTGAAGGAAGAGATGACTGGCTTTGAACTGATCGTAACAGAGCAGAGCAGCTGTACTCACACTGAAAATGAAGAAGAGCTCAATGAACATGGCACCGAATGGCAGGATCCCAGCCATCAGGATTCTGGCGGAAAGAAAAGAAGATCATGCCTCAACTCAAAAGTTCAAACACTACACCACAGGCAACAGCCGTCCCAGTAACTGGCCAGAAATTATGATCAGACTGTTAGATTGCTTAAACACACTCACCCTACAAACTTGTTCATGTACCACCGCTGCTCTGGGACCTGCCGAGGGATCTGGTTGGTGCGTACTGGGTTATCATACGGCTGCTTGCGGAAGCCAAAGTAGTAGCCCAGGTAGACCAAAGGCATGGAGATGCCAAACCACATGCACAGCAGGGCCAGCATTGTGGTGAAGGGAACCTGATGGGGTGAGAGAGAAGAACAGGGACACGGGAAGAATTGTTAAAAGATAAATGACAATGTTTAAGAATCCAAGTCAATGTAGTGATAATCTTTAAATTAGAAAATGAAGATAAACCAACCGCCTACATGCTGTTTTATAATAAATCTAGTTCAGGTGTCTTACGTTGTAGTACACCATGCTGCCACTTGCTTTCTCTCAACCTTTCTTGTTACTGAAATCTTTTTGTTCACACCAGCTCGCTCATGCTCAGTGTATGGTGAATGGTCATGTGATATATGTTCTCAGGCGTTTTCGTATGGATGGAGATCGTTTTTGTTTTTAAAACATTGTTTTAAAATGTTCATTGCGAAACAACAAAGACAAGGCATACCTGCCTATCAAGTCACATGCTTACAAAATATATATTTTTAAATTATAGATATCGCAGTTGCTGAATAAACAAATGATGACATTACTGATATTTTTTGAATGTCGTTTTCTTATTATGTCACAGATAAACATTTCAACAACAGTGTGTTTACTTGCTGGTTTGATTTTGTGATAAAGCCATTGAAATGTTTATCTGAGTCAAGTTACAAACACAGAATGGCAACAGCACAAGTAAAGAAAGATGAAGAAATCGGCCAAGTAATGTCAGTTACACAGCGATATCTAATATTAGCCAACATCATACCAGAACAAGTAAGTCTGTAGCAACAAAACCTCTGTGTGCACTGAAATGAGCAAGTGTGTTTTATTGTTTAAGAATTTAACTGTTTATATGTAACAAGATTTATATATGTTTAAAAGTAGTTCAAGTATTACAAGTGATTTATTACAACTATAACTATATCTATTACTCATATTAACATCACAATTACAGTAAAGGAATTGCCATTTCCTAATCTGTGATACATTTTAGATGTGTGTTTCTGAGCCATGACACTCACCGCCCCAGAGGAGTGTTCTCCCCAGATGAAACAGTTGAGGATGAAACAAATTCCAAAAACCACTGCAGGATACAGAGTTGCTGTCTACAGAGGAGACAAACAAGGACAAGCTAAGCCTTGTTGTTTACAGCAACACAATTTCAAAATGCATAAAAATTTAATAGACTTGTTTGGAAAACACAAAGCAAACATTGGGTTTGCATTGAAAAATATGTGAATATACAAACTTTAGAGTGATGAAGAGCAATTTTTTAATTCATTATTGACTCACACAAAATGCTCCTTTCTTCCACCGATGGCCCTTCAGTGTGCGGTACAGTCTGCCAGCAAAGTAGCCACCAAATACACTGCAGGAAACACATCCACAGGAAAAAGCAGTGTAAAAACATTTTATTTGAAAATAAGCATCTTTGGGATTTTTCCTAGTGGCGCTCAGACAGATGAATGTGGCTCTTACCCCATGAACATGAAAAGGAAGCAAGAAGTGGTCATCAAGGCTCCTCTACTGGACGGAGACAACATGCCCAACATGGCAACAACTACACACACAGGAAACATGGCAGTTTGAATTTTTCATAGATAGATTTTTCATATACACTGACAAACACGGAAGGTCCCTATGCAGAACTTAAAGTTAATCCACTCCATTTATTGATCTATATGACAATATGAATGAAAGTTCAACAAACTGTCAACATCACTAGGGAACTGATGATAGAGATAACAAACTCACAGATGACGATGAGGATCATGCAGAAGAGCTGGATCCCTGAGCCCAGCAGAGAGCTGAGGATCATGGGATACTGAGGTGGCCTGAAGACATCACCATGGACATTCTTCCATCCCGACTCCTCCATGGTGTCCTCCTGGTTAGGGAGAAGAAAAACGTGGTCAAGTGCCTGGACACATTATTAGTGCTCTTTCCCCAAGGACTGGCTGAAACCATGACAACTCTCTTAGGTTTTAGGTTTTCATTTTCTTACAATGTCATCCTCTCTGTTGTAGTTAGCGATGTCCTTCCTCAAGGTCCTGATAATGATCATACTCAGAATCCCTGAGGGAGAAAAGACAGGGAACGACAAAGATGTCAGTCAGATATGATGGCTGAAATTTTAACTTTTCACATGCTGATTTATCTTTTGTATGTATGACACAATACGGATTTAATAGACTTACATAACATTCACAAGCTTCAAAGGTCCATGTGCCTAATTACTTAAGGTGCTTTATTGTGTTGATATGGACATGATGACAGTTGAGCTGAGCAGGATTTGTGAAAAATTGGACATACCAGACAGGAAGAAGACGACCACCACAGAGTTGACAATGGAGAACCAGTGAATCTGGACGTCGCTCATGGTCAGGTATGTGTCCCAGCGAGACGCCCACTTCACCTCACTCTCCTGCACAGAGGGGACAGGAGGGTCAGCAGTCCTTCCTCTACACTTATATACCTTTGCTTAAATCCATTTCCTAGAAAACTCACAGGTTGGAAATTATAGTCCAACTTCTGTGATTGTGAATTGATAAACCCTACAACTGCAGTCTTCAAGATTTGAACAGTAACACTTATCTATTGTTTTGACTTTTTAGTGCTCTAGTAGACTTGATTTGAACTAAGATGCTCAAATGGACAAAAATAAATGAATCAAACACATGTTTTAGGAATTTATTCGGGGTTAAAGACTGGTCTGACTCTTGGTTAAAAGATGTTTCACTGAGAATCCCATCACTGACCTCCCAGTGGACAGAGTAGGTGAAGAGGACCTCATTCTCCTTGTTTGGGTCAATCTCCTGGGGCGCGGAGCCACTGGCCTCAGGCAAGGTGCAAGTCTTTTCATTTTCCACTGCTTTCAGGTCTGAGAAGAAATAATTACAATACAATACACAAAAGTGCTACAAGGAGTCTGTGATAATAACTTTTACTTTACTGGCCTCTTTGGAGGCAACACTTGTGTGTCTTCCTGCTATGCAAATAGTTTTTAATCACCATGGGCAGAAGCGTTACTTAAGCTGTTCAGGTGTGTCTACACCTACCATCTACTTTTACACTTTGGGGTACGACCTCAAATCGCACCACCCTGTAGTCGTGAATTTCCCCCTCTTCCAGCTTCTCCCTGTGGAAGTACAGGATGAAGGAGAGGTGGTTGTGCAGATAAAACTGTGAAGAAGAAAAGGGAAGGCACAAGACAAAGATTAGTGCCCTTAAACATCAAACATCATTTCAGTTCTACATTAAACAAAATGCTGACTTCTGCTCTATTTCCGGTACTGCTGCTATCTCCTGTTGTGCTAGTGACATGCACTCACTGTTTTCCACATTTCAATTTCAAAAAATTAAAATAAAAAGACAAAAAATGTTTTGACTGTCTTCCTGAGTTACCGTAATTTTCAACACGTTTCAGGACATTTAAGTCTATACAATTTGACTTTTAGTTTGACCCTGAGTGAAGACTGTTCGCAACAAAGGACAAGCATAAGAATGTTGCAATTAATTTCAAGGAAGAAAACATTACCCAAGACATGTGACATTGGTTTCATTTTCATAATTTAATCATCAGTGGATGAATTATCTAAAAACATTGTTTCAAATGTGTTTCTCTATCATATATTCTAATAAATGAAAACATTATCAAATATGCAACAATCAAAGTTAAAGTATTCTTTATTAAGAGTTAAATCTTAATCAGATATAACAAAACCCCATAACATCCACCTTGTTGTTGTCGACAAAGCCCAGTCTGTAGCCATGTTCAAACTGGATATCCTTCACCACATCCTTCTTTTGTTCCTCCTCGCCTCCTGCCTCTCTGTTGGGGTAAAATTCTAACCTGGTGGCAACTGGCAGGTTATCTGCAATACTGAAAGGCACATGGAGGTGTTCAATTAGTTTTGGTTTGTACAATCAACATACAAAATGCTAGAGAGCAAGGTTATTTTTAGAAATATATGGCCTAAAAAGAATCTTCCACTTATGTTACTGGTTGCTACAAAGCACTAAAGTAGACATGCTCCGATAAATTATTACAAAATTCATTGATTCATTTTCAAGTCATTGAAAAAAAAAAACCATTTAAAAATAAACTAATGCATGTTATTCTACAAAGCAATTGGTGAGGATAGACATTTAGAATGGATAACCCTCCAAACAACAGTGATGAATGGATGCTCACAGGTGAACATAATACTCCTCCTGGATTCGCTCAGCTACCAGCTTGCTCTCTTCTATGCTGAGCTTTTTCTTGTTGCACATCATCTCACATTTCTTGTCTTTGTTCATCTCAACATTGTAAAGGGTATTCACAATACGGTCCCCACGTAACACCTCACCTACAAAAGAGAATATACATATACGAAAACACTTTGCGAAATAGAATTTGTATTTTTTTTTTTATTGCAGCATGTAATATAACATTGATTTTCCTGAATAGGAGCCGGTCAAATTAAGTGATAAAGTCACATATCTGCAGCAGCACACTTACCCAGGTTCTCTCCCTTGTAGAAAACAGATTCTGGCTTACAGAAAGGGAGGGAGTAGTATTCATAAGGAAGCTGGGTACGGGAGCTAGTCAGCTTCACTGCCTGAAAAACAAATGGTCTCACTGACTGGCTTGATGGGTCACAGATACTGCATAGTGATACGCAAAACTACACTCACACCTGCTTGGTCTGAATGACATTGGAATCTGTTAACTTTTAATGTTCAATCATAATTAGGAGCAGTACTCAGCCATTTTTGGCAAACGTTCAAAGGGAATAGCAAGGTGTGAGCCTCTTAAGTGCTTTCCCACATAACCTGTTTGGTTGGAATCAAACCATCTCTGGTATGCTTGGCCTGCTTGCAGTTTGTTTCAGCTGCGGTGATGGCAGCAACCATTGAACAACCACATCACAATGTTTCTACTGATCTGTGAAATATTGATCAACTGAATTTTAGTCTTACCTTAATATCTACTGTCTCACCATCACGGAAGTCCCGGGGAGCAACTCCAGGAACGTAAAAGGGCCGGACCACAGGCAAAAAGGACAACAGCAGCAAGGCCCACCACGTCTCCTGCAACACAGACACCACCAAATATTTTATCACACACACAGACATACACACAAAAGCTAGATAATGTGTTTATTAGAAGATCTGACAAATATAAAACATGGTGTAAGTGTATGAAAGACAAAAAGATAATAAACATAAACTAATTTCATCATGCCACATAAAGTACAAGAACATTTAGAGTAATTACAAATACTGTGGCTTTATTACAGAGGTACAGGCTATGCTGAGCTTCAAGTTAAAGGAAAAAGATAAGAGGGACAGTTACTTTACACTAATAGCAGTGTGTGTTTTATCTTTCAAGAAATGCATTCAAGCTGAGTAAACCTGAAACTGCTTCCTAATCATGATGGAACTGCATACACAGAAATGTGTTATAACTTATCTGTATTACACCTCACCCGCAAAAGTGTTGTTTCTATTTGCAAGGAAGACAATGTAACATCAAAAATGCATACGATGCCCGGCTTTCCTCTAACAATAAACCAAAACTAACATCTCAGTTACTCTTTCAAGTTTATTCAGAAACATAATCAGGGCTTTTACATATTGGGATATACTTTAGCCAGCAAGATGGAAAAAGTGAGAGAAATCTATTCAAGTCAATAAAAATTAGACTGGGGGGAAATAGATGGATATTTCTATGGCACTGAATATTCCCCAGTATGGTTTTCTTTTTTAAATGGAAAAAAGCTATAGCTGTAAATCTGTTCCTGTGAAGACAAAGCTGCAAAGATTCATACAGACCATGGCATGTAGACACTGAGGGACCTACAGGGTTTCCATGCTGAGATAGGAGACACTGAGCATACAACTGTCGCCTAGGTGATTCAGAGATGGTGAAGAGGTAAAGAGAAACACTTCACATGACATCTATGCTTGTGTTTGCCAGAAGGCGACAGAGAAACAGAGTTCTCCACATGCCTTTGAGAAACTGGCTGCAGTCAGCAGGAGATATGATACTTGGGAGATTTATTTCAAACCCAAACATAAAGCTGTAGCAACAGAAAAATGGTTTGATACGTTAACCCAAAACAAAATCTAAATGGTGTGGTAAATGGACTGTATTTATCTGCTTTACAGTTGAGCTGTCATTCACACACAGCTACCATACAAAGTACTGGCCTAACCATTGGGGTTCATTGTCTAGCTCAGTGCCTGAACATTTGGAAATGTAGACTGGGGGAGCCCAATACCAAACTTAGTGATGACACCCTCTACCAGCTGAGCCACATTTAAATTTACTGTAATTACTTTGTCTTTAAGAGACGTGTGTCGGTGTCATTCTGCATTGTTCCATGATTAAAAGCCTAATTATGACTCTGTGAAACTGAAACACCACATGCACATGAGGAACAAGTCCCATGGGAGCACGTATTAATTGTAGGGCATTCTGAGTTATGATATGGCACTGATGGAAGTTAGCAAACATGGGTACAGACTTGAACTATATTTATGTTATCACAAAGTACCAGCACAGTTGAACAACAAAGACAGTCTCATTAGTGTTGTGTTTTTATTCTGTAGTTGATCTGCTGCCATCATCTTGATATATTTCAATACTTTAAACTTGCTATACCGGCAGCAACCTCAAACTGACGCTGCCTGCTAACAGCTAACGTTAAGCCAAAGTTCGGCTAGCTGATTTATTTCGGCTGTACAGCGAGTGACAGCCCACCAACCAAGTGTGTGTTTATTTATACTTTGTCGGAAGATTTTAATATACCAGGCAAAATACGCAAATCAGTTTTTTGAGCCACAGCTTAACTGACAGTTAAGCTAGGTAACGTTAGCTAACTTAGCTAACTCCAGCAAGCAGTTAGCATCCTCAAAATTCAAACAGCAGCGAACTCCTGTGAATCCACATCTTGTTGCCATTTAAACGTTATTTACGGACCATGTTATACCTCTACTCTGCCACAATTAAAGCACTGTGTCTGGGGTAATATGGGAAGACAGTATCGGCGATGTGTAGTTTGAAGAAAGAGTTCGCTTTTCCACTTACCATAGCCGCGGCCGCCATTTTGAATACGTGTCATAAGTGACGTTGCGGAAGGTATTGGTTTTCGATTTTTTTTCATTTTATTTGACGAACCCACAATGTACTACTACTTAACAGCAGTCATTTATGATCCCAATAGTGAACTGAAATGATTACCAATATAAATAAATCATACTACTTGTTTATTTCTTTTGTTTGTTCTTTTGTTGCAGTATTCTTTCTTATCTTCATTTGAATAATATTGTCATATATACAGTTTTTAAATTAAAATTAAAAAAATTTGAATTTGCCTAAACCTTTATTAAAACAGTACATGCCCACAAACAAACACATTAACGTGTAAAAATATATATGTATATATAGCATAGTATTGTTATATAAATACACATTTGGATCAATGATTGCTTGTAAAACAATTTATTTGAAAATTTCCATCATAGTTGCATTGATCCAAGCGTCTAATACAATATGCAAAGGGATTTATAATGATGAGAAAAAACACACCTATAGATGTCCAATGCTAGGCATTTATTCAATAATGTGTCAAAGCAAAATTCTCTCACATATTGTTGCTCACACTTCTCTCTAAATGAATAATAATGAAAAAAAATGTCACTCGAAGAACAAAGAAAAAGAAGGATAGAAAAAGCTTTTCATTTTCAGAACTCATTACATTCAAGATAGAATGATGTTCAGAACAGTACTGTTTGCACAAATAAATAGAATAAATTTTCCAAACAGAGAAAAGAAGGCAAAAAGAGAGAGATGTGAGATGTATGTATTAGGGGTGTAATGATTCTGGGACTGAGACCGTGATATAAACATCAAGCAACCCACCCCACCCCCACTGCTGCAGGTACAACTTGAAGTCTTATTACATGAGTAATTTATCAAAACCTGTTTTTTATTTCAAAATTAACTACGTTATTTCATGCAAATCATGAAATTATTATTCTATTTAAACTTATTATAGTTGTATAATTTGCTCTTATATTAATATTACACATTACACCTATTTCATTGTCATCCAACTGCATGTCATGTGACTTTTGATCTAATCATGATTAAGTGACCATGCCTGTGGTAAAGGTTAGTTTAATTAGCTCAAGATGGACAATAACCCTGAGACTGCACACCCCTGGGCACATTAAAGTCAGTAGGAGTAGTAGGACCCCCCCCCCCCCCCCCCCCCCCAGAAAAAAAAGAAGACAAGGTCTCAACCGAACTGGATTTGAAGAATCATTACACCCCTTGTATATATTAACATTTAACCTAACATATAATGGGTGAAAATAATCAACAAGCATTATTCGTTAATGTGGCTCCACACTAAAGACACTATTCCTAAATACTTGCATTTATATACTTTTATGTTTATCAGACCATATGGAATATATAACTGTTTAGTCTGAAAATCAAACAACCACTGCAAAAGGCACTATAGATGAGTAATGCTGAAACAATCCACAGCGTAATGGAAAAATATCAATAGAACATAAATAGAGGATTTAAGCATTTAAGCCTAATCAGCCATTTGTCTTGTACTTTGTATCATCCACAGTACCCACTCTCCCTTTATATTGTAAAACACTGTACATTTAACAGTTTTGTTTGCCAAACCTTTGATATCAACACAGTATTATTGGAGCTGAACACTGCAGATATTTCACTGTGAACATGTGTGTTGTGGTTATACCTTCCTTTTGATGGATGCAAATTGTGTGCTGGAGCTTAACAGCTAAAAATCCTTTTACTGTCACTTCTTTCAGGCCGTCAGTTGTGTGTTTGTGAATGTGGCCATGAATCTTTGTACAGTGTAATATAATATTTGTTGTGTGAGATAGTCATGCTTTTACAATAACATATACTGGACACTTTGGCCTTCTACATACTGTAAATGTTATGTAGACATACCTTCAAAGGTGTTGGAGTGTTAGGGACTGTACAAAAATTATACAGCGGGTGAGAGCAGAAAAATGGGAGAGCTAATTGGCTTTTGTTTTTTCTTCATGAATAAGTAGTCAGAATATTATACGGCATAGTGGGACCTGCTTTTTTCCACAAAATCGGTTTTATTTCAGCCTTCCCTTGGAAAAGTACTGTATCTCAGTTGTGCTGTCTTTGCCTGTGCACTGGCAGGGCTTAATCAAGCACATTTGTTATTTTCACTTATACGTCTAGAGAAGAGTCCTGCACGAGTCCCGTTTTACAACCCACCTCTCATCTGCAAAGCTCAGTAATGCAAATGACCTGTTACCCACAATTATATCTAGATAGAGCATGTGTACTAAATGTCAGGCCACATGTTTTCTGTGCATAATGATGTGCAGCTTTATCTCACAATACAGTGATCCACATTATGTGTGCAATCAGTAGTAAAACAAAACTGAGTGCAGCAAAAGTAAAAAATAAATTATGTTAAGCATTATTTTGTGGGTCACTTTTTATATTTGAGACTACATAAGTAACAAACACATATATCTGTCTTAACTAATCACTACTGATTTATAAGAATGCCAGATGATTAATGGTCAGTTTTGTGAGGATAATGTAGCTGTGGCCATATTAGCCGATGACCAAACATCATCTTACAGTATCTATTGTGCTGTGGCCCTGACCTAAGTATGAGGTAGGATTGTGTTGTCAAAATATTAATAATATCAATAATATTCGATGTGTATATTGTATTTATAGTTTGCTCTCCACTGTGGTCTCCACTGTCTCTGTAATATGGTCTCTACTCCAAAAAGTTCTAATTCAAAGGGAGGGGGCCCAACCCTCCCCAGTAATTTTTGTACAGTCCCTTGTTAGTATATATTATGTGTGTGTGAATGTGAAGGAGAAAGAGAGACCGTAGCAGTGCAGTTTAGAGCACTCTCTGAACTGCACTGCTGCATGTAGAAACTGGACTGAATGCAAAGTATGAATGGAACAATATTGTAACAGAAAACATGTCTGTGGATGTTCAGTCTCAGGGCTGCTGCTGGTACTGGCTCTCTGTGGCTGTGTAGAAATCCTCCAGGACGCTCTGCAGGTATTCAAAGGTGGGACGGTCCTCAGGCTTGTTCTTCCAACACTCCAGCATGATTTCATAGAGTTCGGTGGGACAGCTGTCCAGGCGCTGCATCCGGTAGCCCTTTTCCAGGGAACGTATCACTTCTGGGTTGGTCATCCCTGAAAACAAGAGTACATGGTCGTGTTAAGAGAGACTACAAAGCTACAACCTCTTAAAAATGAAAGAGGAACATATAATGGGCTGTCATTAGGTGACTTGTAAGTGACTTAGGTGGCTGGGATGCTAACTTTGTGGCTATATTGAGTTATGAGACCACTCAACTGTGTCCACTTAACAGAGTTTAGGGACAAAACTGTTGTGCACTAATTCAGCAAGTGTAAGGACATGCAAATTATATATCAACGCTGAAATGAGTGATCGACTTACCTGGGTAAGGTGTGCGTCCATAGCTGATAATCTCAGTCAGCAAGATGCCGAAAGACCAGACGTCAGATTTGATGGTGAAAGAGCCGTAGTTGATGGCCTCAGGGGCTGTCCATTTGATGGGGAATTTGGCTCCTGGTTATTTGGGAGAATTGCAAAATTTGAATTTATGTTGACTTTGTTATTGAGACATTGCTGAGAAGTTTCCTGCTGCTCTCACATCCCCTCAAACACTTCCATCCTCTGCTCATTCAGCCAACCACACAGCAGGTCACTCTCGTCTTCACTCACGCTATTTTTGTCACTCGTGTTGTAATCCGACATCTATCCAACACAAAGTAATTTCCCCCCAACTGATGAAACTGTGACTGCTCCCATTTCATCATTTCCCCAATTTCTTAATCCCTTCTGCTGCTGTGTAGCCACTTCACCTGGCTGAACAATATGTGACTGCGTCTTACCTTCCCTGGCTGTGTACTCGTTGTCCTCAATGATACGAGCGAGACCGAAGTCAGCGATTTTGCACACTAAAGCCTTATTGACCAGGATGTTGGCAGCTCTCAGGTCTCTGTGGATGTAGTTCCTCTGCTCAATGTAGGCCATGCCCTCTGCGATCTAGAGACAAATAAGTCAAAACAACAGCATTATCAGCATTTCCTTGTTTAAACAAACACGTCCACGCTCTCAGATATACTATACCTAATAGACTTTCTTTAAGCTCCTCTGTTGCTTTCAGTAAATTGCACTGCTGCTAATAACAGCAGACATTTAATATAACATGCGTGAGGTGAGGATTTATTCACACGTGTACCCTCTCCCTATAGCTCCTTTGTGTTAGCACTAGATAAGACCAATATCTCTGACTATCTGATGAATAATTTAACATCACCAAATCAGTCATGGTAGGATTGAATCAAAATAGGCAAATCTAACCTTCTTCCTCTTCCCTTCCCTCTCTGTTTTTTTGTATTGCACATGAAGTACCTCATGCAGCAAGGGGCTAACTCCCTTATAAACTCACTCAATCATTCACATTTCCAGATTTTCTATAAGAGGGAGTTATTTGGTCACTGTCAGTGTAACTCTACACATACCAACCACCAACATGTATAATGTAGACATGTCATTATCTTTGGTAACCTTCTGACTTATCATCTAGGGCCATCATCTAGTCAAGCATTGAATTTGGCCGAAACTTTGGTCTATGAATAAATAGTAAACAAATTACATTCTTATCAGCTTCAGCTGTGCACGGTGTTTATGGCTAATTAGCAAATGTTAGCATGCTAAAATGGTCATCTAAAATGGTGAATATGGTAAACATTAGATCTGTTGTCCTAATTCAGGGGCTGCATCCTTTCAGGACTGTATTTGAAGAACGATTGTGTCATAGTGGTGCGACTAGGCTGTCCCATTTTGAAGGCTCATTCAATTGCATCTGAGAAATGCAGCCTTCTTTTCCTGGGAAACAAAGGCTCCAACAGGTGGATCCTTCGCAGCCAAACTTATTCCAAGATTCATTGCACTCTGGTCATGAAAATAAATGTAAATGATTATACTTTTAAATGTAAGTATTAATAGTTTCAGCTCAGTTCAACAGCTAATGATACAACTGTTAAAAAACCAAGGGTATTAAAACCTCAAGTTTTTGTTAAAAAAAAGTTACGTGTTGTAAAGGTTGCTAGGCAACAGGAGCGGTGCTTTGCAACGCAATGGTAAGAGAGGGCAAGGCTGGTGATGCGAAGAAAAAATCCTCCGTATGTCAGACCGTCTCGATTCGGTTCTACAGGCCACACCTTGGTATACCTCATCCTCCAAAGGATTATTATTATTAATAATAATAATAATAATAAATTATTATAATAATAATAAAACTGGAACATCACTTTGTAGAAACACCTTTGTAAAAAGTAAATTCTCAAGAAGAAATACATTCACCCTGTGGTTGTATAACACAAAATGTCAGCTTTTGAAGATTTTGTAAATACATTTATATTTTATTTCCCTTTCTATACATATATGACCCGACAACTTTATAGTTCAAATATTCAATATTCAACCAAGAGGTGGCGCAGTTGGATCATAGTGGCTGGCCACAGTTTGTCACACCAATGACACTGCTTCCTTATCCACCTGTGTTTCAGCAGTACTTCACACTGGAGTATTTTTCTTGCAACTATAGTGTATCAGCAAAAAACTGTACGTCACAGAATTACACAAATCTTAATTTTAAATGTTCAGCTCAGTAGACACTGAATAATTTCATTCACTTTAAACGCAATCCTTATCAACAGAAAAATACGCTACTGAATTCAGGACAACATGAAACAGCCAAACAACCAGAGGATCTGGTTTGGCAGGTTGATGACGGACAGTGACTCTCACCTGGGCAGAGAAGTCGATGAGCTTGGGGAGCTGGACACGGTTGCCCTCATCACTCTTTAAGAAGTCTAATAAACTACCTGCAGGCATACATACAAACACATCAATGAACACACACCTGGTAGGAAAAGACCCCCCCCCAAAACTATAGATATCCTTAAAACAGATTCAATCACCACAGTTATGTACAGAAAACGTAAAATTAAATAAACCTGCAATGAGATTTCATTTTCCTGTTCCCTTTAGTTTATTGCTCAAATTGCTCCCAACCTTTTTGTCTGAAGTACCTCCACTGCCCAGTCAGATGAACTTGTCTTATACACCATTATTGACACCACCCATCATGTTCCAAATACGTTCATGTGAACTGATGTACACTGATGTTAACAGCAGCAATTATAGAAAAGTCAACATTGTTACAGTAAAGCTAGTACTCTTATCACTTGTAGCTGACTACAGTATTTTAACAATTTATCCATTACTTTTAGCTGAGACATCTCTGCTTGCTACCGAGTTTTCGCACACTCTCAAATGCATCACAGGCGTTCAGGTGATTCATTCTGCAGATTTAGACTGGGGTAGTGGTGAACTTCAGCCTCCTGGGGCTGAATGCACACACAAACACATGCATACCCTTCTCCATGTACTCCGTGATGATATAGATAGGTTCCTCCTTGCTGACAACAGCATTCAGTCGGACCAGTTTGTCGTGCTGCAGCGTCTTCATCAGGTTGGCCTCCATCATGAAGGCCTCCACTGACATGCTGCCAGGCTTCATGGTCTTCACTGCCACCTTGGTATGCTTATTGTACGTAGCTTAAAGTACAACAATAATTAGCATTAGAAAATGAATTGCTTGCTTCCTTTTTCCATTAAAAACTGGATTTAAAATATTACAGATCCATCTCACCCATCCAGACTTCTCCAAACTGGCCAGCACCAAGCCTCTTTTCCAGTTTGAGGGATGATCTCGGGATTTCCCAGGCATCTTTCTCCCAGGGCTTCTCAGGTTTTGGGCTCAGGCACGGGCTGGTCAGGGTTTGGCAGAGGCCATCTCCCTGCTCTGGAATAAACAAACAAAAAAAGGAAATTCATGATTTGATTTTGACCATCTACTTCTCATGGAAGCCGTGAGAGGCAAGTGATTTTTTTTTTTCCATCAGGATTTTTCTAAATGTTTTTGTAGTACTCATTTTGGCCACAAGAGGCTGTGAAGTATTTTTTTTTTCACCTGCAAAATCCCTGAGAAGCAAGTGATTTTTTTTTCAGTTTTTTTTTTGGCAGGGTGTTTCCTTTCCCAAGTGTCAGCCCGAACAGGCTGAAGTACACCACTACCTCAGTCTAAATAAGACTAAAAGTATTCATGGTTTTTTCTATCAAGTGATTTTTAATGTCTCCATGTTGTGTGTAACATTACTGTTACAGTAGAAACACAACACACACAGTCTTTCTGCTAGAAAGGCTTTATCAGGTGAGATAAAGATACATTTCTAATTAAAACCACCTGGAAAAATGATCTATTTAGACTGGGGTAGAGGTGCACTTGCCTCTCAGGGCTTCCATAATTTCTAGTGTTCAGTGTTGTGAATAAGAATTGTATTGTCCTTATTTGTGGGGAATATATATGATAATTCCACAAATCAATTCAATATAAGTTTGTGTTTCACAGAGGATGACCAGTCGGCCAGCAGAGAGTGCTGTGCATCACACATCCTGTTTAGTGGTGGAACACAGATGGAGCAAGTCACTCTTTTCTAAGACCATTAAATGATTGAAATACGAGACAAAGTTTGTTCCTTACATCATTTTAATGAAGACAGACAATAACAGTCAGGTGGACTACTAAAACACACAGCTGTGAGGAGCTCAGTTCCTTCAGTAACAAACTGGGGAAAGTCTGAATTCTGAACTTACTCTTGTAATGGCTGACCAGGTCCAGCAGGGTACCGAAGGTGATGCGGGGAGAGATGTAGAATCCTCCATTGTCCAGCGTGCGGATCTTATAATGTTTAACTGTGTCAGCGGCCTGTGCGTCGCTGTCCCTGACAGACAGAGAGTAGCTGCCTGTGGTAAGACAGAAAGAAAACAGTGATCTGAAGGGGACTTTTGTAATGCTGACTCCAGTATTTTTTTCACTGACAATGTCTTAGATTTTTAGATGATTCAACATTTTAAAATCGTAATGTTTTTTTATGTTAGCAAACTTAAGGTATCAAGTATTTCCCCCAGATGTTTTTTCTTGCCTGCAGACCAACATGGGGCACTTAAAGAGGCACTCCAGTGATTTAGTGTTGCACTTATTATGAAAATACATTTTGAAGACACACAAAAGACAGATCAAACTCAGAATTTTAGTCTCAATATGGGTCAAGCTCTGAAAAAACTGTATCCTGTGTAATGCAGGCCTTCTGTAAAAAAATGTAACGCAGTAATATCTAACTCTTAAGCACTACATTACATGCACCAGCAAGTTGCTGGTGGTTTACGGTGGGTTTACCGGAGCTGTTTTGTCAGCATTGCTGCTGATGATGAGAGTTTTGTGAAACCATTAACAAAGATGCTAAAAAGCTCTGAGAGCAGGGGGGAACCTCAGAGTCGAGTTATAATTCTCTTTGTCACTGCAAGTGACACCTTTCACATTACACATCACACTTTCATCTCTTCCATTGTTAACATTAAATATTGAGAAGATCACCTTTAAGGGCCAGTTATAAAAGTTGTTAGCCTGTTAACCTGAGTTCGTAGTACTCTGTGTTTGTATTGTACCATTGCAGTTCCAATGGCTAAAGATGTGTGAAGTAGTTCATTTGCTGGATTTGTCAGAGGGAATTTTTGTTGTCAATCATTTCTTTAAAGGACTCACCCTTGGTGGTCTCACTGTCTCGGATCATGAAGGATCCTATTTTGTTCCCAGGGGCCAACAGCTGCCTCTCGGCATCTTTCCTGCTCACGCCCTTAAAGAACCACCTCAACAACAGGAAACAGATTGGTTAGTACAGAAACCTCCTAACGGCTCTGCCTACACATGCCTTTATTTTCCATATCATACTGCCCACTTTGTTTCCTGGCACATTTTCAATTTGTGAAAAACTACAAAATGTGACATCTAAATAGAGAACGTGATGATACTGCAACTATTTATAGCGTTATAATAATAATAATAATAATAATGATAATAATATCTAACTTGACAGCCTCTCAAGACCAAAGGTGTTTAATTGAATTATTTGATATTTATAGTCAGAAAAAAAACTGTTGTCACCAGTGAGATATTAATCCTAATCATTTACATTTGTTTTGTGCGAGTTTTTTCACTTACTCCTCGGCCTCCAGAGTATCTTTGGCCACATAATTACTGGGGATGTAGCCGTCCTGACCAGTGCTGATTAACATAGCTCTCCACCACTCCCCTGATCTACAGAGGGACAGAGAGAGAGAGAGAGAGAGAGAGAGAGAGAGAGAGAAATGTGAATATTGAAGACAAAGACATGATAAACCACGTACTTCACCAGCTCAGAAATTTATATCCCTCTTACAACCGAAGCACGAAAGAATAAATGATATTCTACTTACTCCTCTAAGATTCTGAGCTTATCTCCCTTCTTGAAGCCGAGGTCTCCGTCATGAATGGCCTCGTAGTCGTACAGTGCCATGGCAATAGTCTCTCCTACAGCGAGAAAAGCAGAAAACCACATGTTGATATAGATGTGGTCCTGGTGCAGTGTTGAATGTCTATTTGAATGTCTGTTTACTTTCTACATGCTGAGAAATTGAGGCTTGTAATGCCGTCACTCAATAGATTTCAAAATGATGATGTAGCTGAAACTACGCACGCTTTTCTTTGCTTGTGAAAAGTCAACATTTGAAAGGAAGTTTTTCATGATTTTCAGTGATGATATGTGAGAGTGAGAGGTCGTACATGACCTGTGCATGCTATTTTTTTATACACAAGTCTGAACTGCATTTGTCTTTGTCACTAACACTGGGTTCCCTGTACTTTGACTATGTAACTGACTTCCTCATAAGCTTGATAATAATAGCAGCAGGGCTTCTGTACACTGAAGGCTTGTGTGGTGAGGCAGTGAGAGGGGGCTATCACTCCATACCCATGCACTGACTCTATTTCCTCTGTCTTTTACACATGTTGCGTTACGCTTCAGACAGCGTCTCTCTGTGTCTAACCAGCACTGACCTACATGACACTGTTTATGTGGCTTATGGCGGAGATGACATACCAAGGTGAGAATTTAGAAATAAACCTGGCGTTGACTGAACCGTAGAGGGATATTAGTTGTTGACTTTAACAGTGGATGCAGATTTAAGTCGAATGCATACTGTGTGAGTGGAAGCACCGTAGTATGTAAATAAAGATTGTGACTCACCGTCTGATGCGTTTGCATTGGATGGCATTTTGCTCTGCAGAGAGACAGAAAGAGACACATTTATGTCAAGATCTTAACCAATACATGTATGTATATATACATTTTTTCCATTGTGAATACAAAAATATTGATTAGTGCTGTTTTTAACCATCTTATCCATCCAGGGCTTGGGGCATAGCTGAGAGCAGTAACTGCTTTGTTGTGACATCACAAAGCTACAAAAGTCCTGACGGCTTGCTTTAAGGATCTTTTTTGGAATACACGGTATGTGCATTTCTCTGTGGACTGAGCACTTTGATACTTTCACAGTATTAATATAGAATCTAGACCTGCTTTATAATCAAAAAAGATGGAAATCTCAATTTTTACAATATGGGACCTTTAAAATTTGCTTTGTCGTTGAAGCGTTAAAGTGGACTGTCCTGCAATATCCCAAAAGATTCTTTTCTACAAAAAAGCCTGGCAGGATTTGACCAAATCATATCAATCAATAATATTTAAATTTTTGCTTAATTTATTTCGGCCAGCACAGCTACAAAGAAAACAGACAAGGAATAGAGGAAGGAAGGACTTTGTCATATCAACTTTAATTATCACGATGTTGCTGGCAGTTATCTGTAGTTCAGAGTTTGGTTTTCTGTTCATCAGAAACAGTTCGTTCTCAACAAAGTTCAATATAAGGCAAAGGCTTAATAAGCTGAGCTGTGTAGAAACCAGACAGCCAGAATGACTGACTGTAAATGTGAGATAAAATATGATAGATATTGCCTAATTCTTAAATTTTGATTATGTGTCCCCTGCCTGAGTGCTCTGGTTCTGCTTCTGTCACTTCCTCTTTCTTCATTGAGGGTGAAAGAGGTGTTACAGTCAGCACACAGGAAGCAGTAGCCAGAGGAACTGCGCTTAACACGAAGCGGCACTGCTGCTTTACCGATGACACAGATCAAAGTCTGGCCAGTATGCAAACCCACAACAAGCCACAGGAATGTTTTCACAGCGCTCGTCAGTGCTCATTTATCCTCTCCGAGAAACACAGGAAAACTGCCGTCTATCGCTGTAACCAGTGAAACTCTTTTCTCTTTTGTACCATGTCACACTTTCACTGTTTCTGCTTTTGATGCTATTAGTCTTCCTCTTAATTTAAATCCAGGTGTGTGTGTGTTTCTAGTCAGATACACACTTATGTGACTAAGTCGATGTTCAGTGATGGAGAGTCACCATTTTAACTCCACTACATGAATCTGACAGCTATAGTTACTAGTGACTTTTCAGATCAAGGAGTAACAACACATTTTTAGAGATTAAACCAGTGGTTCCCAAACATTTGTCATGTGACCCTCTGAAAAAGCAGTATCTGGTTTGTTTGTGAGAGGGAGAGAAGATTAGACAAAAATCCAAAAAATGAATAAAAAACATGTGAGGGAGAACTTCATTTTTTCTTTCCTACCGCATTCATCATCTCACGACCGCTGAGATTTAGCTTGTGACCTTTTGGAGGGGATCAGATGCTTTGGTTGGGAACCACAGTATATAAAGTATCTAAACTCCCTCTCCTGGGGCTGATTTTCTGCAAATCAGGTACTTTTACTTTTGATATCTTAAGTGTATTTTGTTGATAATACTTCCTAATACTTCCTCTACCAATGAACAAGTTGTACTATAAGAACATTTTTAACAAAGCAAAGTGTAAATGATTCATTCTCCATGTGATTTCATGATTTGAAGTTGGTTTTTGCCATATGACGAATACCAGCTAGTGACTTTTCACAGGTCATAATCTGCCACAACGTTACTGCTTACAGCTTTGCTTCCTGAGTTTCCTGTGGTGGGGTCTTTGACATAGTGGGCCGTCTGTGCGCGGTTCTGCAGCTCATCGTTACCCGTCCCTTTGCTGAGAGGCTCCTGCTCCTTCTTTGAGCCCACACAGCCCATGGTGCCTTCTGCAGGAGGATAACAGAGGAGAAACAGCAAGACGTTAGGGTCTGTGGTTATCAACAGGAAAATACCATTGTGATGTTAAAATGTTAATAGTCTGGCCTATTTCCCATAGCCTTATAGTGACTAAATTATTCAGAGAATAGTGGAATGCATTGGAGGTCAATCTAAGGCTGAACATTAACATAAAGTGTGCAGTACAAGAATACAGGATTTATTATTTTAAAAAACACATTTGTATTTCTATAGCACACGTCCTGAACCCAGAGGATCAACGCTGTGAACGCATTATAAACTAGTTTATGATAGGCTGATTAATAAATAAAAAATTAAAGCACAAAATAACCTTTGAATGCGACAAAGTACGCTGTGCTGATCAAGTATTATGTGTCACACATGACTAGGAGTGAATATAAAACTAGTTATGTCCAGGCATAATAATCACTGATTTTCTTACTTGAGATACAGAAGTGTTTGTGTTTTTAGAAAACAGATGAAAAGAGTATCACACCAAATATCATAATAAATGATGGAGATAACAATCCAGAATAAGTTAAAGTTCAGGCTAGCAGCTCAAGGCTATGTTAGCTGCTACTAGTAAAATGCACTCAAATCTCCGACCAAACTGTCAGCAGTCAAGTTGGACTGTGGGTAATGTAGGCGGTAGTTAGTTCATGAATCATGAATCTGACAATGTTAGAAGTGTAATGCTAAACTAGGGGAGTGCTATTTTAATCAACCTTTTAAATCTTGGGCCTATTTTGCTAAGTTTAATATAATAAAAATGGATACATTACCTATTCTGTAGCTAATGGACATTTAGCATGCTACATTCATTTATTTAATATATAATATAATAATGGTGAGTAAATATTATATTTACTGATTATTGGGCCAGTGTCGCTTTCTTTATTTCTGTTTACGTATGTAACTGTGTTCACACACCCACGTGAGGGGTCATCATGGAATAAAGACGTCAGCCACATCATCAGTCTGTCATGTTGCACCCTGTATTGTTTGGGCATTGTGCACGGATTAATCCCATGCTGATTTAGAACATGTATATTTACGACGATCTGGTTGCCTCTAGTGTCTGGTGTTGCAAACTGTGACACTTTATCTCTTTTCAACTGTAAATCTTGTGAAAAGGGAAAATCACAAGATGTTGTTCGATACTCTTTGCCACAAAGGGAAGACTGAGAAGACAAAAATGCCTATGGCTCAGTCAGTCAGCTGCATGATTTTTGGGATGCTGGATGCTTCTGAAATTTCTGCATCATTGGCATTTATTCTTAATAGATTAGACTTAATGGATTTTTAAAGATGTCAGCAACCCAACTGCTGCAAAATCGACTCATGCATCATGATTGCTGCATGAGCAACACTGCAAGGTCTTTCTATCAACTGTGGCGATAAAAATTCTTTGCACACAAACCCCCTTATCCATCTGTAACATCTAGGGAATACTTTGTTTTCTCTTTGTGTCATTTTGTATCTGCGTATACATGTAAATGTGCATGCAGTTATGTGGAACAAGGTCTAACAGGAGCGAGAACAAAGAGGGAACTGTGACGGCAGATAGAAGTTGTGTTTTACTGCACATGTTGGCTCACGTACATGCAGAGGACAGAGTTATAGTTTGTAACCGATCTCTCTTCAGCTCAGAGAAGGAGATTATTGCACTGAACAAAGGAAGTAATGTTTATCATGAGCATTAAATGGTAGACCCTGTTACCACGCAAATGGATGCACTATAATTTTAAAGGTCACATATTACTATGAAATGACTAAAACTACCACGGATATCCTCAACAGATGTGTCGAATCACAAACAAAAGGAAACGGCACTGACAGAACTTAAAAAGTTGATCTTGATAAGTTCTATAATAAATATATATAGTCTTTACATTAAGCATTAAAGGTCTTTAAAGGTCTGTTTTAACAATTAGACTATAGTTACATCTGTATCATTTATGTGGGCCTATTAAACACAACTGTGTTAACAAAATAGTGTTGATTTGATTTTCCCCCACTTTTCTTTTTGTCACGGCCACATATGGTCAGATGTTGCTCCTAGGTAGAAGTACATGCCCACTATTTGTGGCTGAGCGCAGATCAACTCACCAGGTGGCGTGGGATCAGACTTAGCGAAAGGCTACGGTAACCATGGCTGTAGGATGGCTAAGATGCTAAATGTGGATCTTAATATACCATTGCAGCTACATTCACAGGTTATACTGCTCACACTATACTGCTCATTTACCAGCTAGTTTCCTTGTTCTGGGGGAGCTAGAGGAATAGAGGTATTAAGCAACTTAATATTTTCACAGTTTTTATCTAACACCTCAGTTTACAAAAAAGACATAGCACAACCGAAACCAATGTTCACTCTGTGGGACCTTTAACATGCAGCGGTAAGCAATGGAAAATGTTTCATTTGAACATTTAGACACAGGAAGTTCCAGCGTTCTTGAGGTCAAAACTGGTTGTGTTGATGTATTTGCTTCCTTTTTCTGTCAGTTCTGAACTTGTTCCTCTTTAGATGTCTAATCAAAGGACGGCCAGGTTTCTCTGGAGAGTTTTTATTTCTATATTTAAAGCTCTTTAGTGCAATTCCTCTTTCATAGAATGAACAGACAGGGCTCCCTGACTATTTTTACTGAAACAAACCAGGAGGCTGGTAGTAACGAGTCGTTATTGTAATTGATTTGTTCCAGTTTGTGTATAAACAGCTACAATAAATGGCAAAGGCAAAAAAAACTGGCAGCTCTTAGTGAAGACGTGTGGAGTTTATCTGAGATTATAGAATAACTGTGTGACCTCAGTGAAAGGTGAAGCGGTGCATGCGGGGTGAGGGAAAATTTCAAATTCTACTCATTCAGACTTTAACTGCAGGTAAAATTTTGATTTCAAAGATTTATACACAAAACATTATGCAAGTAAAAACTTGCAATTACTATTTTTTTTAAAATATCTTCATAAAACATGATGTATCAACTATTTCTGAGCAGAAATAGCAGAAATACCGTGTATTATTAGTTACATCATTTAATCTAGTTCTATGATCTGAGTCAGAATATCTTAATGTGACTTGATAGTTATAAACTCATCTTTGCATATCTTTGAATGTATGAGCTGGAGCCACAGTGACAAATTGGCCAGGTCAGGTGACGCTTATTACAGATCAGTAGTGGTGTATGTGTCAGTTTTGGGCCGATAGTTGATAAGATCGGCTGATAAGTATAACACAAAATGTCAGCACTGAAGTTTAAGGTTATCTAGAAATAGTGTCACAACTACAAGATCTGACAAGTGTATTTTTCTGCTGTAAAATGTCCTGCCTAGTGTGTATCACGGTCACAGTACTTTTAAAAACAAATCTAAGGAATCCTAACAAGATTATGATCATTATGTGTTCATGTAAAAACAAATTTTTATCAGCTAATATAACCTATTGTTATCAGATTTTTTAAACAATATTGATATCAGTATAGGGCTCAAAATTCCAGTATTGATCAGGCAACAATATTGTAGACACTGGCCATATTAAAGGGCAGTATTATCTCTACTCCACTGGATTGGAGGGGATGATTCACCAGATGACGCCTCCTCTCTTGATAGGATTTGTAACTTGAAATTCACCTGCTAATGGGTCAATAGGGGGAAAATTTCACCTGGAAAACATAATATTAAGGAACAGTTTTACATTTTGGGAAACGCATCTATTTGCTTTCTTGCAGAGAGTTAGACGAGAAGATCGATACCACTCTCATGTCTTGTCTGCTAAATGTGGAGTCAAGCTTGTCCTGGCATAAAAACTGGAGTCAGAGGGAAACAGCTAACCCGGCTCTGTTTAAAGGTTAACAACAAAATCCACCTACCAACACCTCTAAAGCTCACTGATTAACATATCTCATTTTGACATTAGTCCAGGAAATAACCACTCCCAGACAGAAACAGACAGAGCCGGGCGAGCTGTTTCCCCCTGCCGCCACACTTCACGCTATGATAATCACCTGCCGGCTCCAGCTTCATATTCTACATAACTATCAGGAAGAAAGCAAACCAGCACACAGCTGGGTCCAAAAGTCTGAGACCACTTTACCATTGGACTCAACAGCTGAGCCGAGAGTGAACTTCTTCCTTAACAACCAATTTTAGGGCAGGCAGCAACACTGTGTGACTGTGCAGCATAGTCAGAACGTGCTGGTCTGAAAAGTCCACCATTCATCATCAATAGATTCCCACATGCCCACACACAGGCTGAGACCTGAAGAGAGACCTGCTCTTTGCTCTATATTAAACTGAAGGTAAGTACAGTAAAACCCGAATGGCAATTCTCACACCTACAGCTCTCTATAACACGTAAAGCACAGACCCAAGTGGAAACATATCACTGCTCAGTCATGGGTGATACTTAATGTGTTATAATGTGTTATTAAGGTGACACACACGTCTCTTCTGGGCTGAATACCTCACTAAACTCACAAAGAACACCACCAGTGCAGAATGAACCTGTGGCAGTCCCCATTAAATAAGTTGTGTCATCCTCATACACAATGAGTGGTTATGGTTATTATCTACGGCTGAATGCCATGACTTTAAGAAAATGGATGGAAGTTGGTGAAAGAATATTTTTATGCCAACTTCAGCAATTTCCACTCCTTTGAGTTGAGGATTTGAAAGATATTACTAACAGTTTCGTTTCTGTGCTTCTGTTTCTTCTCTCTCATGTTTGTTCTCCTCCTCTCTGTGAGTTATGTGTTCCTGTCCACACAAAATCACCCTTAAAAATAGACCTCTGACTATCAGGCTTCATGCCATCAGTCTGTTGAATCAAGTCCCGGTTCATTTCACAATAATGTCTAAAGGAAGATCAAATGGTCTCAAATCTCAAATCTATATCATTCATCACCAGATCTACTGTTCCTTAGTAAAGATAAGTCAGAAATTCTTAATTCTATCAACATGTGAATTATCCAGCATGTGTTAAAACTGCCTGAGAAATCAACAGGTTTCAGTTGTCTGCAGGAATGTGTATCTTTTATTAACTTTCTATGCAACAGCGTCTTGTGAAGGTTCAGATCATCAGATCAGGTCGCACAGCAACATGAGCTTCAATACTCAAATGTGGATTTCTAACACTTAAAGGTCCCATATTGTACAAAGTGAGATGTATACAGATGTACACAGATGTGTTCAGAAAGTGGGCATCAGGACTTATGTAACTTTGTTATTCACAACAAAGCAGTCACCACTCTCAGCCATGCCCCAACCTGGACACACCATCCAAACTTGCAGGATTTGGTTTCTGTGGTTACTTGAAATCTGCTATATTTTTATTTGATCACTCAGCCAATCAGAAGACAAGTTTTAAGCATCTGAGTCCATGAGATAGTTTTTGGCTCTTAAAACCACAAATATATCTTCTTATAGATATCAACATTTCAAATAAAACACTGGAAAAGTGTAAAATATGGGACCTTTTACATCAATGTTTGCACATTTTGGGAAATACATGTATTCACTTTCTTGCAAAGAATTAGATGGGAAGGTTGACACCGCTCTCATGTGTGTATGCTAAATATAAGGCTACGTGCAGTTAGTTTAGCACAATGACTGGATACAGCTTGCCTGACTCCGTCCAATTGTAAAAATATGACTAGCAGCACCTCCAAAGCTCTTTACTGAACACATTGTCATATTTGTTTGATTGATTATTGCCTAGCAACCTCATGGTGAGACAGTAATTTTCTGAGATATGACAAGTTATACTATTGGAAGAAAACAAATGGGCCATACGTAGTAATTATAAGATAAGGGTCTTGGGTCAGCTGATTTAAAGACACCATTATGTTTATCTGTCACATGCTAACATGTAATATAAGAGTAGCACAAGCAGATGAAGAGCTGAGCTGCGTTTCGTTGCTTGTGCATTTAACTTTTCACTTGAAAGAGGAAGAACGTGTTAAATGTTCTTTCGAAAGTTACAGTCATACTTTAAACTAAGCACTGTGCTATTCAAGAGCAGCGCCAATCTCTAAAACAGGACGGCAGTTGTAGTCAGCCACACTAAAGACATAGCACAATGTCACAGCACCTTTCAGAAGAGCAGTGTTCACCTCAGCCTCGGTCTCTGTTCTGATAACAGAGAGCACAGATATACATGTGAGCAATTTATTTTTACTAATAAAGAATTTTGAGAGGAAGTGTGATTCTGTAATGGAAAGTTTAAGGATGAACTTACTGATCACTTCCTGATAACAATATGCATTTCAATTTCAGCTGAATAACTGAATGTACATAACACCATGGCTGTTGAGATCTGTGCCACTCCAAAATATGAATCAAAATTTAAAAAAAGTTGTTGTCTCTTATGTCAAACTGAGGTTAGCATAAAGGCTCATCTCAGAATTATATAATTACATTATAAAATGCAAATGAGCAACACTGTAATCATCAGGCTGTGTGGTCATAAATCTACAAGACAGACAGCCACATTCAGCTTTCAGTGTGTGTGGGTAAGAAATGGGCAGTGATGCTTTGCTGATTTAAGTCCACAACGCAACATGAATGATGACATACATACACTTTAACATTATAGACTTTCATATCACATCTTCATCCTGTGAAAGTGGCAGCTTACTTTCATCTGCACCACTGTGCAGGCACCAGGTTGTTATTATATTCTTGTGTGGCAGTTAGGCTGATTGCCACAACTACACTGTGGCCTCATTAACGCAGGATCCCATGTGTTATTCTACCAAAAAAAACAAAAAAAAACAACAACTACTAGGCCACAGTAACACAGTCTCTCAACGGACAGACGACAGGAATAATTCATGTGTGTTCTGTTATGAGGGATATTTTTTTTTCTTCTTCAGTTGTAAATGTTGTGGTGGTGCCGAGCTGAGTGTGTACCTGTTTGGGACCGCTTCAGGCCATAACAACATCACCTGCCAGTCTGGCATGCAGCCAACAGGACATTACACAGAAAGAAAGAAAGAAAGTAAGAAAGAAAGAAAGAAAGAAAGAAAGAAAGAAAGAAAGAAAGAAAGAAAGACATCTCACAGCCTTGGGGTATTACTTCACTTGCACTGTTATTGAGTTACTTATCAACAGGAAAAGACAGAGGACTCTGGACTGTTGAGTGTCTCCATCTCAGCATCGTCTTACTTCTTCTGTATGACAGGACTGTATTAATCATCATGCAGCTCCACCTGTGTCTTTGTGTCTGTTGTTGGCTCTGTAGATAACCTATATACTTTATAAAAGCTGAGACTGATAACTTTTAGAACGTACAGTTTAGACACTTTGTATATGAACATAAAACGCTTGTATATGTTTCATTATATAATTTTAACATTTTCATTCATTTGATGAAAAATTACAGTATATTTAGTTTGTGTCATGTATGGAGGAATTTCACATCTGACCTCATGTACGACTATATATTCTATGTAGTAGGAATGTGGGTTATACGTGGGTTGTATGACATCTGCAGTTAATCAAAAGAAAATTGATCAGCAAATATTCTGATAATTGATTAATCATTTATGTCAATCATCAAGAAAAAATGCCAAAAATCCTCTGCTCCTCTTTCAAGGTGACATTTGAAAATGTCACCTTAGGCCCTCAGAAATTGTGATGGGCAGTTTGTCAATATTTCCTGACATTTTATTGTCAGAATGATAATTTGTTTAATGGTCATAAGCTGTATAATTCTTATAACAGGAAGGTGGATTTGACTCAAATATTCAAATTCTGCTGAAGAAACACTCCAGCAACCAACCATGAATGTTGGGTCTTTTGAAAATTTGTGGTTGCAATAACTCATTGCTGATTTGACAACATGTGGGGATGATGTGGCAGCAGGGTCGATTCTAGCTGGGGGAATTCAACAATGGCCACCAACATTATGTAATATCAGCATTTCTGCAGCGCACATTACACACTGATGTAAAGCTTTAATGTTAAAGCAATTCTTTTTAAGGAAGGGGAAAGGGTGACCAATGAACCTTCACATATCTATATGCTTTTAAAGTGATTCAACACCTAAAGATCACAACTGAAACTAGACTGGTTTCTGGTTTAGTCTAGATGGACAGTCTAAAAATAACTCGCTCTCTCTCTCACGCACACGCACACACACACACACACACACACACACACACTAAGATAGAGAGATTAACAAAGTTGAAACCTTAGAAGACTTCATACTCATCACTTCACAGAACGTGATGTGTAGCAGCACTGAGAAGAGATTTACGTTCAACTTATTTTCCATCACTCTCACACTGTGTTTGTGTACAGTGAGTTCTGTAGGCGGTGGTTGTCTCAGCTCAGACCTTGAAGTTCCTCTTTTTGGAACCGAGCAACTTAAAACTCTACAGATCATCAAAGCACAACTTTCTTCTTCTTCCCTCTAAATTTCTAAATGTACATTAACTGCACAGCCTGTCGTTTTTTTTGTTTTGTTTTTTATTCTTACACTGATCTTTCACACGCTTTGGCTTCCCCCCCCCCTTCTCTCTCCCCACACACAAGCAAACCCAGATGAAAGAGGTCACTTACCGCTCTTCAACCAACCAATCACTCGGACTCTTAATTTCTCTGGATGTGTGTTATCTTCTAGATTCGTCTGACTGTGGCGGTATTATTCCTCATTTCTTTCATGTAGCTTCCATCCCCGTGCAAAGCCGCTTCTTTCTCTTCTGGTTAGGGGTTAAGATGTGGACGGGGCGACGGAACGCTGCGCACTGGACCTGTAGGAGGAAGTTTGCGCTGTGCGCATCTGAAAAGAGGAACAAGCGCCACACCAATCGTACTCTTAGTTTCACTCGCGTTTTTCAGATGCTCAAACCTCAAAGATATCGATGGTAAAACTGTGTTTTTAATCATATTATCTATTTATTTTAATTAGATGTGGCACTTTATTTTCCATTGTGTCTACTGATGTATTTAATCATGTAGTGGATCATTCTTCCTTAATCCAAAAGCCAAAAAGTGTAACGGTGACGCCTCATTTACGTCGCTGCTGGAGGAGAGGAGGGATAGAGGGAAGAATGGATAAATGGATGGATAGCCACGGGTGGGTGGACAGATGTGTGGGACTCATTTGCATGGTGTGCGGGGCAGATCTAACATGTATTCAAATGATAGTTTGACAGCATCATGCTCTCAGTGCGTCCTCTGGGTGGAGGCAGGCGGGAAGGATGCGGAGGGGGGGGGGGGGGGGGCGTGGGCGGTTCAACAGCAGCTCAGCAGTAACACAGCTCTTCAACCATAATCCTTAATCAACAGTCGGGATTAGAAACCAAGTTCCCTCTGAAGCCCAGGCTGTGGTGATGGGGGAGAGAGGGAGAGAGGGAGGATAAGAGTGAAATTAATGAGATGAGGGGGGAAAAAACCCAGAAAGGTAGAATGTGAGAGAGTTGAAACACTGGTGAAGGATAATACAAGATAAAAAACAAAATCATAGCATGGGGGATAAAGAGAGAGAATTTGTGTTTAGCATCTGTTCACAGCTGCAGATGACCTGACGGTGCCTCATGTGGGGGGGGGGGGGGGGGGGGGGGGGGGTGCAGTCACAACAAGGCCTCAGTTTGCGGCTCTCCATATTCAAACTTAAGGGGGAAATGAGTTGCTCATTAACCAGACTGAAGACCCACAGTTTAATTATTACACAGGGAATTACAACACATGTGGCTGTCATACAAATCCACTGACAGGTGTATTCATCAAGGTTTCCACATGTTCTCTGAACCGATCCGTCTGTGATGCTTTATACAAACAACAAGGAAACTCAAGAGGCGACTGATCAAACATCAGTGATCCCACTAGTTTCAGCTCACTGCTACAGCCACAGTGCCGTCTTTAAATATTCTGGCTTTCTTTTTTTCCATTTCCTCCATTTTGTTACTATTTTATACAATTCTATATAACATCTTGGTTTCTTAATTCTGCTGTATTTCCTCTTTGTGTGATTCATTTTTAGAGTGTGAGGTACTTAAGGTTCCCCGTTTCTGTGTTTATTTTTATATTTCAGGCTTATAGAAGATACAGTGGTTGTTAGCAGTTGTGTGCTCACATGATTTAGACCCAAGTCACGAATCTGAAGACTTTGAATTTAACACGACTGTTTTAACCTTTTAGGTTATCTAACACCGGGACTAGTCTTGAGGAACTCCTGGTATGGTACAGAGCCGGAGCCATAAACTAAAGCTCAGTCAGTCCTGGCTGACCGTAGTCACCCCCTGTTCAGTGAGGTCTGGATCCATCACCAGTAGACTCAAAAACTAATAATAAAGATTACCTTGAACCTTGAATTGTTTCTGTAAGTTTGGTGACTTAGACTTCACTTTGTACTTAAACCCATCTTGATTTGGGACTTGTTGTTGAATAGGGACTAACCTGTTCTGACTTGGGACTTGTTTCTTGACTTGGGACTCAGCCTGACTTGAGATAGAGAATTACTTGTGACTTTTAAAAGTGACTTTGCCCCTCCTCCATCTTGCTTCAGTTTGTGTAGTGACTTTATTTGGTTGTGACTGACAGATGGTGAGTCTTAAAGGAGCTATATATTGTACATATACAGAAGTTTGACAGTTTCTTCAGCAGAACAAACCACAGCGAGACACTTGCCTCGGCTGTTGTGATGTTGCTGAATAGCAGAACTAATATTACAGTACAAACATTACGACCTAAAACTGTGGAACACACTACCTATAGATATCGGAGAAGCCAGCTGACTAAATATTTTTAAAACATAACTTAAAACTTATCTTCGCCTGTAACGAGCTCTGAAACTTTTAGGGCTCTAAAACTTTTTGCCTCTTTGCTCCACACTTATGCACTGCTCAGAACTTATTTTTACTATGTATGTCATGGTTTGCCTTAAGGACTCTTTGTGTTTGGACTGTTGTATTATGTTTGGACTTTTTAAATTAGTTTGGTCATGGTCATTTCCTGTTTTATTTTGAAGTAGCTCTCCTTGTGTGTCTCTTGTTTTTACCTCTGTCAGGTTTTGTAGTTATAAGGGACCCAAATGCAAACCATCCAAGAGTAGGTGAAATCGATGATTTGTTAAGTGAAAGGAAAACAGAAACTTACGAAAACCAAGAGCCCAAAATACACCAGCGAGGAACTAAAACCCAGACACTCCAAGAATGAAAGAAAACACTAGAGAACACCGAACGGGAACACTGGAGTACAACCGGGGAAAACAAGATGAACAGAGACTATAGTCACAGGTTAAGCAAAGGCAATTGAACACAGGTGAACACATTAGGGCGGGGCACAAAATCAAACTGGATGGAAATGGGACAAAGAGAGGAAGTAAAAAACAACGAGAGACACACAAGGAAAGCTACTTCAAAATATAACAGGAAATTACCGTGACCAATCTAATTTAAAAAATCCAAACATAATACAAAAGTCCAAACACAAAGAGTCCTTAAGGCAAACCATGACAATGTATTTATTACATTTTTCATGTCTTTTCTTGTGATACATTTGGTGCATATAATTTCTTTATCGTACTTTGTGCTGCATTCCTTGTATGAAAGGTGCTACACAAATAAAGTGTATTATTATTATTAAAATGTGACTGTCAGCGTATTGGTAGAACTTATTTTAAAACTATCTTTATTTAAGTAAGTATGCACAGGTACAAACTGTCTAGATTGACATTAAAATAAGAACTAATGTAAAAGAAGAAAAGGAAGAAAAAAACACTGAAATAGTTTAAATTTCCATCTTTCACTTCCTGTGGGTTTAGAAACGATAACACAGCAGCAAGGACAGATCAGACAACATCTTCATCAGGGTTGATTAGATGCTCTGTTGTATTGCAAACATTTCTTTTACGCTTCGTCACGACTGTAGTGTTACCTATAGAACTTTTCCATGTAATCTGTGAACAGGATGGCTTCACAGGACACTAACTATCGAGTTGTTTTCCTGTTACAGTAAACTTGTGTCACCTCACACTACTACATGTCAAACTTTTGATGGTTTCCACTGGTTTCTACATCCTCCATCATCACGCCACAAGTGTTTTGCATAATGTCCTTTGCAAAAAAAATACACATGATGTTACTTCAGTTTCCCAGAACACACATCAGGGCTGTGTGGTAAATTAGTTATGGTACAAAATATAAAAGCTGAATCACATACAGTAACAGAAGTAACGTTCAAGAACGGAAATTTATTTCAGCATCGTGGGGTAGTGCATTCATACAAAGTAACAGTTTCTAAATTACATCATTCTAGAAAACAATACATCTGTTAAGACACAACAACACAACAGTATTTAGCTTGATAGATTAGCAAACTGTAAAAGCACAAACAGTACACTTAAAGTATCTCAGTCAATCGCATAATAATTAATGTGAGATGTGAATGGCAGGGAAAGGCTATTTAGTCCACTGACCATTGACCAAGTACTGTACTTAATGGACTCTAATGGCATAAGAGAGACATGATAGAAACAGTAGAGATCAATATAACTGCATTATGGACTGCATGCGTTGGGTCTGTCACACACAGGATAGTTAAAAAGTGCCCACACGAGAAGGAAAATAACATCAATTTATAGTAAATATTGGCTGACGCTGCCTGTTGATTAGGGCATCTCCATTTAAAAAAAAAAAGATTATTACACAGAGTGGACACGTTGACCTCACAGTGCTGTACCACAAGAGTTTAGGTCATTTAACCGACTCTGTCACTCTATCTTTATCTCCTCTATTCACCCGGCTTAGCACAAGCCGTCGCAGCTGTGAGCGGAAAGTTAATACTTGCAAAATATGTGCATTCTGAAAATGAAAAGGGGAAGAGGAACATGTTTTTCTCTTCTTTTTTTTTCCTTGTGGGTCACTTAGAGACAGGCTGAGGGGAAGGATGGTGGTGGAGGTGGGGGGTGCTCTGTGGCAAAAATAGCTAGGCAGTGACAGTAATGCCAGGAAAGTGAAATAACTATAAATACTAGAATAGTATGTGAATGGTGTGTGATGAGTATGGGAGAGGAAAACGAAGGTTTTAGGCTTTAAGACAAATGCAAGATCAAAGGTGAAACATTACTGGCTTTGACACTTTTCATTTCTTTAGAAAGGGGGAACCATGATGATGATGGTGCTGTTTCCTGCGGAGCGATGATATTAGTGATGGCTGTGTTGCTGTAGCTGTGGTGAACAGTGCACAGCTGAGAGGAAACATGATTCACACTGTCATTTGAATCTGACCGTTTGTATTTTCAGTTAGTACAACTCAATGTTCAGTTACTACACTGGTCTTCAGTCTGCCATATTCAGGTCGGCCGCTCGAGTTGTGTGTTGTGAAAATGGGCTGGTAATGTGTTGCACAATGTGTGACTTTTTCAGGCCGACTGTGCCTCAGTTCTTCTTCACCAAGCAGCTGAAAGCTGCTAAACAGAATAATAATGCACATTAACAGCTCTCTATAGATCATTCTGGTTATTGTTATTGTTTTAGATTTAGTGACTCCATGGAAACAGAGTTTGTATTTGTATCACCAATGTATTCAGATTTTTCTTAGCAGGATTTAGGCTTATACCAGTAACTGCAAACTCTGACATGATGTAAGTTTTAGCAACGACGGCCTTAAAGGGCTGAGACATTATTAGATCTCTGCAGGTAAACAAAGCCATCATTGTGAGTCTCCATTGTGTCTATTTGTTGTTAAATACGCTGAATTGTGACTACAATAATGAAGTAGTATAAGATCTCTTCATGGCATCAGATAGAGGGCGCTGTGTTAAGTGAAGGAATTAATGAGAATCTAATGGGGAAAAAAATGACTGCCAACCTACAAATACTTATTGTCTCAGCCATGTTTTAACTTGTTTATAGATATAATCTCTTTTTCCCATCTTCCATCTTTCCATCTTTTTTATTCACCTCCTCCTGTTTAGGCTCATAAAAGGAAGCTGGATGCTGTTACAGAGTGCACTGGGCCAAAGGCAGCGAAAAACCCAGATGTTTCAAAATGCCAAGAGGAAAGTTTAAAGCTGCTTTAATCTAATATTTTTATACAAAAGCTGCTACACTCAAAACTATAGTATTAACAGTAGATCAAATGACTACATGTACACTCCATATGGTGAACAGACAGAGAATTATCATCATCCCCCTGAGCTCTATGGAGATGTTTAGCATTCCTCTTAGTCACTGTTTTGATTTTATGGCCTGCAACTTCACTGTTTTAACCACTGTACACTAGACAGTCAATGGTAGCGACCAGCTGCTAAACATAGTGGAGCATTTTTTAGCTAAAGAGCTGAATATGTCCCTCTGCAGTTGGTGGAGACCAAGAGCTAAAGGGGCAAGAGTCATTATTGGACCAACATTCATCAGGTGGCCAGAAACACAACTTCCAATTAATGCTAAAGTTGCTCCATATCCACCGGATGTGTACATTTTCCACTGTTTGCTAATTTGTTAGCTGTATCAGCTTTATAAACTGATATGTAAGTGTAACTGTAAGTGTAACTGTTTTTCAGCTTGTTGTACTGCCCCCTAGTGGCCAATAACATCAGTTAATGGAGCGCTAAGTGAGATCAGGTCATTGTAACATCATCCTCTTTAACTCGGGCTCTTCTCCTCAGTTCTGACCATGATCTTGATTTTCCTTTTGTGCTGGATGTCTGTGAGGAAGAGAGGGAAAATTGTTCCTTCTTTTGGTGAGGGAGCAACAGTGCCAAGAAGGAAGTAGTACACATACTAGCACCTGTAAAGTTTATTGAACACACTTGTAATTTGGGGTGTTTATGGGCAGGAGTACTGACTCCCTGGAAAAATACTTCAGCACATTACTCCTTGCAAAACCAAAACTTGATTTTTTTTTTACACTTTGGTTTTTGTACAACTTAAACAAACAAGATATAACGTGTGAAATAATGCTGGTAGATGGATAATGTTACCTTTGAACAAAGCAGAACCATAAGAAAATCTTAATCTGCAAAGCTTTAGAAATGTGATTTGATTTGTAAACCGCACCCAAGAGGGAGAGGAAGAAAGGGAGAAGAGAAGGAGGACACCCAAAGACAGAGAATGTGAACAGACGCTTACTGTCTGTGTCTGAGTCCCTGCTGGTTTCTGTCTCCACAGATGCCCTCTTCCTCTTGCTGCCCTGAATGCTTTCTTGGCCTGAAGCACTCCCGTCCTCGCCCTGCTCGTCTGAGCTGCTCTCTCGCTCGTCTGCTGGTGAAGACGACTGTGACGGGGCAGAGGAAACATAAGAGCTCACAATAGAAAAGAACCTTTGCTTTTAAAATGGTGAAAATGAAGGAGGAAATACATGCTAACACAGTCTCCTCTGTATCTCCTCTTACCTTGCCATTCAATGATAAGGCTTCTTGCTTTTGCAGAGCAGAATTCAGAGTCTCCAGGACTACTACTGTTACAGAAACACAACACAGCTAAGTAGTATTTATCTGTGCACAGTAAATATATGGATATATGCTGCATCACATGGTGTCAATTTAAAACAGTGTTTACTACAAAGTAACACAATAAGATCATTTGAGAGTCGGTACAAACGTGACTTTGTTGCCCTGTGAACTGACGTTTTCAATGTCAACACACACACACACACACACACACACACACACACACACACACACAGGTACATATAAATCAAAGTTCTTTACCTGGTCGTAATGATATAGTGAGGACAGGCACCTTCTTTTCGTTGCTTTGGTCTGTCTTTCCATTCACCTCCTCTTTCTGCTCCTGATCTTTGGTTACCTGCTGCAATGAGACATCACACTGTAAATCCTGATTGTCACCCCCATGTGTTTGGCTTTTAATGTAATCGCCAGAAAACTTAAAAGTACCTTGTGGTTATGATCCCCGGTAGGCTCCTCCTCTTGTTGGTCGATCGGTGGTGTAGAGGAAGATGAAGATGAGGGCTGTGCGACAGGTGAAGGTGATGATACTGGTACTTGTGCATATGTATTTGTCTTCACATCTTTGTCAGGGCTCTTCTGTACTATCTCTCCAACTTGTACGGCTGAGGGTGAATCATCTCTTGGTGTTTGGTTGGATTTGGACTTTCCTCGATCCGATAGGTCCAGAGGCCCCTCGTAGATCTCCTTAAGCTCTTCTCCAGAGACCATTTCAGCTTTAGTTGGCTGAATTTCTTTTTTGTCCGGGGGGTTTATTTGACTCTCTACATGCTCTGACAGACTCCTCAACCTGAACACCACAGTTGGATCTTTTACCTGGGGCTGAGGACTGCTTTGTTTGGACCAGGGAGACCCGAAAACCTGCTTTCTAGAATTGGTATGTTGGCTAATTGGGATGAGGTTGGGAAAGCGTGGCAGATTCAGTTTGGAAGAAGGTTGCATCAGCTGGCTGGTGCCTGCAGCAGCCACAGAAACCCAGTCAGAGGATTCAGATAATGGCCAGGGGAGAGTAACAGGGCTGCTCTTGATCGGTTGAGGACGGCAGGGAACGGGAGTGTGGAGCACGTGTCTGTTGGAGTTGACTTCTCCACTGGTTGAGGAGGAAGAATTCTTAGGAAGGAGCGCTTGAGGGGGGATGGAGGATCGTTGGTCCAGTCGTTCAATACTCTGACTTCTAAGTTAGGAGAAACAGAGGTCAGAGAGGGAGAGGTTAAAATCTCCATACAGGTCATTAGACCATAGTGATGGGCAGTAAGTGACACCTAGACACATGGTGTGTAGAAACAGAATGATACATCTCCATGTTTAGTTTACACACACTAATGACTAAGTGGACCCATCCCAGACAATCTGAAAGGTCTGGATGCTTCAGAACGTAGAAGCAGATCATATATTTATCTTGGCTCTACACCGTCAGTGGTTTATAAACCAATCGTAATATCTGTTGGTCTTAAGATAAAGCCAATTTTTCTATGTCCAGCTGAGACACAGGTCCTTTAATTTGGATTTATTCTTAAAGTGATGCTGATGTTGTAATTTACAAAATTTACATCTAAATTCGTGACAACACCAAGAGTTATGACTTTGTTTGTCGTCTTCAATATGAACAATTTGCAATTATCATTTATATACTCTCATACACTGACACAACAGCATGTCTTGTGTTGGTTTGTCTCACCTCCTCTCTCGGGTTACACTGTGTTCTGTCTTCCAGGATGGTAATGTGAGAGTCGACAGTGGTACAGACTTGTACGGCTCCTGAGAGAACGGAGAATAAAATAACATAAATTACTATACATAAGTAATAGTTTGACATCTTGGGGGAAAAAAAACATGTTTTTTCCGAGAGCGGTGGAAGCTAAATATGAAGCTACAGACGGGAGACAGTTAGCTTAGCTCAGCATAAAGAACAGAAACATGTAAAACAGTTTGCAAACATCTGTCGGACGGAATTTTAATTGTTTTTCTTAAAGATTAAACAAAACTGAGACGTAACATGTTAATAAGTGAGCTCTACAGGTGCTAGTGTGCAAATGAGGACAAAACCAGGCTAGCTGTTTTCGCCCTTTTCCCCCACTCTTAATGCTAAGCTAAGCTAACCCTCCCAGCTACACCTTCATATTTAACAGACAGATATGAGTGGTGTTGATCTTCTTATTTAACTCTCAACAAGAAAGCGAATAAGAACATTTTACAAAATGTAAGACTACCTAAATGTTTATGAGGGTGAACTGATTTGGAAACTTACAAAGTGGCTCCTGTTCATCCCTCTCAACTGTCTGTGTTTAGTTTCTGTTTGATCAGAAGCAGAAAACATGAACTTCCATGAGCACAAGACCATGACAATCAACAAACAAGCAAAAGGTTTTCCTCCACCCAGCTCTTCTTCGGACTCACCCTCTCTTCTTTGGTCTTTCTCGGTTTTCACTGCAGTGTCACCATCTGATGGCTGGTTGCTGGCCCTGCTGGTTGCCTCGGCGATGAGGGCCACAGGGACAGAGCAGGGTGAAAGGTCAGGCGAGCTGTTTGGCTGTTTGACCTCTGTGACGCTGTTGCTGTTTGAGGAGTGGTCGCTGTGACTTCTGCCACACCATACACACACACACACACACACACACACGCACGCAAATACAGTATATAGTGGTCACACATTTGTTGCATTGAATACTACAGTGAGAAATATGTTGAATAATAACAAAAATATTGAGAAAAAATGAGAAAAAAAGGTTGTTTTAACCCTAAAACACCTTTTACTCACTCAAGTGCTGTTCTTAAATTCCTGATTTCATCTCTAAGTCTTTTGTTCTCCTTCTTCAGGTTGTTCATCTCTCCCGCTACAACACAGACCACAAATCAGGATCAGAGCACTTCACAGCAAAGTCGTCTTTAGTGGAGAGGGAAATCATGGACAGGAGGTTGAAAGAAAGTTGCGAGAAGCAAACACCAAATCTCAGAAGACAGAGAAGGGATAAGAAAATTGATTAAAAAATGTGAGTTTTTTAGTAGAGATGCAAAAGACAGGAAATATGACACGAGAGACAAGTGGTGGATGATGAATGGATGGATGGTTGGATTGCTGATTAGAGAGACATGAAGAGAATACCCAGTATAGAGATGTGCTGGAGACTCTGTATCTGTGAGGCTTCAAACTCGTGCTGTCTTCTTGTAGCCACCTCCTGAGTCACTGTACATCTGTCACACAGTCCCGCTCTCAGCCTGCACAGGCAGCAGAAATCCACACAACGTCACGAACACTACTAACAACTACACTGATTAGAAAACACTCTTAAGGACCAGGTACTAAATCCATCAGCGTGTGAAGTTTCAACAATCCATAATGTGAGACTGATGTGAAGTGATTAAAACGCACTATTGCTGCAACACACTCAGAGGTTTTGCTGCCACTTGGTCTGAAGCTTATGGTGGAAAACTTCAGGTAAATATGTATAACCAATATTATTCAATCAATTTGCTGACTTTATGACTCTTCTCTACTTATGCTACTCTTTCATTAGGTTTTATCCCCTTTGATAATTGTCAGTGGCAGCTGAGTAACATAAGATAGATAGATAGATACATTACAAATTTTAGTTTTACTTGAGTTTAATTTTTAAGCTTGGTCTCTGAACTGACTCAAACGTGTCAAGTAAATAAACAGCCAATTAGCAGCATTATTAGAGCTTTGACCAAGCCTGTTGCATGCTGATAGACTCACTGACGCTGATGAGATATACTCATTTAGGTATTGATATTTGCTATCGAATGATAGGGCGTTTTGCGATCCTCTGTGGTATCAAATCAATTTAGTCAGTCCATAAAAGTGTCAGTGTTCAACACCCAGCTATAACTGTATAACTGTATACACATTCACACATGCACACACTCTGTAAGGCAAGACAAAAGCAGAACGTAGCATCAGTACCTGTTTTCCAGTGTTTTGATGTTGTCGGTGAGTAATCTGTGCTGTTCTTTCATCTGCTGGTTTCTGGTGAACAGTTCCTCCATTCGCTTTATATCGCTGTTTGTATGCATGCATGCATGCAAACACACACGCACACACGCACACACACACACACACACGCACGAAGTGAAGAAATAATGCCAATCAGATAGTATTACAATATTTCTACAGAATAATACAACTTCTCTGGAACATTCATTTCTACAGAGCAGGCAGTGAAGAACCAGACACAACTGGATTTCAACAAGGCTGCATGATCTTCTGTTTCCTTTTCAAGGCTGCTGCATATTACTCTTCTCATATTTTTATTACTGATTATTTGTTTTTTGTTTGGAAACATTAACATGAAATTCCCCTCTAACTGAGAGCGCAGCTGTCATAAATTTGGTATAGTCAAGTAAACTTCAGGTACCTCAAAATTACTTAATTACTTACTGGAGTAAAGTTACCACTGACAATACGAGCCCCACAACACCTTCACCTTCAATTGTTTTTACTAACAAAAATAGAAATGTATTCATAGATTGAGGTGAATATTACAGTTACAATGCTCTTTTAATGTATTGTTTAAAAACATTTAAATATTAACATCAGTACAAAAAACTATGGTCTGTCTCTAATCAGTACAAATAATTAGCACAGTTGTACTGAAGCTGAAAACATAGCGTAATGTGGGATTACTGACAGGTATAACATACATGTACATATTACCTAGTTGAGCCACAATTTGCACATGTGGATGTAGATTGTTTTTCTTAATAAGCTAATCATTGAATTAATCTCCAGTTGTACCAAGAATCTAAAATGATCTTCTTCCTTTGCCCATTCATTAGTTGTTCTACAGAGAAACAAAACAAAGATTTCTGTCTAAGTATCAGACTGAATGACTTGTCGCAACACGAGCTTCCTTACTTGCTAATCATGACGTCAGCACCAGCCTCGTCCACAAAGACTTCAGGCCTGAGCAGAGCTCTCACAGTGGCTGAACATGTGTACGGCTAAACTTGAATATCTTGTCAGTGTTGTCTAAACATCTAGATAAATCATCTAGAGCGGTGAAGCATCCACTCACCAGCCTTTCTTGTTGGACAGCTCTTGGACTTTCACCTGCCAACCTGGAAGTCAAAAACACACAACCACAAACAACTGGTTGGGTGGAAGTGTGAAAGGTGAACTAATTTCTGCAAATTCTCTTAGATACTTATATTAAAGCTGCACTACATCATGTGTCGCTGTTACCAATGGCTGCTGTTTTAATAATTTCCACGTACCATCCACCTCTCGCTCGTGGAGCTCCCGCAGTTTAAGGAGCAGGTCGTTGAAGCACTCCATTGCTGTAGTGATCACCTTTGACCTTGAGTCTGGCTGTAGAAGAAAAGAGAGATACAGGAAGATGGAAAATTCTTGATGGACAGAATTAAATTGTACCGAATGCTTGTAAACTGAATTTTACTTTTAGATGAGGTAGACGTGACTGCACTTGACATTACACACCTTAAATCCAGCACTTTTACAAAATAATAAAACTTCAAACTACGATGGAAATGAAAACATAGCAAATTAGTAAGTTATAAGTTCACAGGCGTTATAGCCCGAGGTCTGTTGTGCATCAGAGAGCAAACTTTGCTGGCACTGCATTTCATAAGCCGCCCCTTCTACTCAAACGTGGGAGCAAATTTCGTTGTTATATTGAGGACGATTAAAACTAGCTAGACTGGTCCTGCCAGGTGTGAGAGTTAAGTTTACAGACTGTGTTTCAAGCGCATGAAGCAACAGCTTTTACAGTTTGTGCATGTGTGCACATACTTGTGCATCACATGGTGTCAATTTAAAACAGTGTTTACTGCAAAGGGACACAATAAGATTATTTGTTGATTGAGAGTCGGTGTAAACATGTGACTTTGTGAACTGATGTGTTTAATGTATGTCACTTCTACTCTACACACACACATACACACACATACACACACACACACACACACACACACACACACACACACAATCACTTACAAGCACAAATACATGTATTGAATGCTATTAAGCATTTTGATCAGTGTGGATTGGGCTCTCTCGACATGTCAGGATATGTCAGACAAGTGGCTGTTCAGATCACTTCAGCAGAGCAAGAAAAGACCTGTCTGCCTTTATGTGGTTGCTCTGCTATCTCCAGATAATTATTCACACACAAACACACACACACACACACACACACTTATTTCTGTCTAGTTACATTTTATTTCCAATTTACTATACTCACCCTTAAACTTTTTCACTACAGCCAAAATACTCATTATTAACTCTATGCCTGTAGTGTGATGCTACAGCATGGTATTATCGCATTATGTGTAAATATGTTGTCCTGGATACCACACACCTATAGAGACATACAGGCTGTGCAGATAACAGACTGGCAGCATACCTCACTGCTGCAGCTCTAATGCAAACCCTTCCCAAATAGAGACAGACTTGTTGTTTGAAACGTGAGTGCATAAGAGGAAGTTTTGGTGTTCAGACCTAATTCACTGCCATCACACAATATCACCTGATGCTGTTCTGAATAAAATGGAGCAGCCAGGGCCCTTAAATAGGAAGCTGTTCTCAAAGCTGGCTTGGATTGACCATCAGTGGAGAGTGATGCTGAGTTTACTATCTTGTCATTCGTTTAGCTGTGACAGACACAGGAAACATGTATATTTTGAAAGGATTAAATGATGGTTAATGACGCATTTTAATATTAAAACTAGTCTGGTACGCTTCAGCTCCACCCTACACACACACACACACACACACACACACACACACACACACACACACACACACACACACAACACAACAAACCTACACAAGCTTGTAAATACACCTCTCCTCTCTAACGTCAAAGTAACCTTGTTAATATGTAAATAAAGGCCTCATATGTGTTATTATTGACAAGTAGCTTTTATGTTTTTATATAGATGTTGTGATATATATATATATATAGTAAATATAGCCCTGAATACACTGTATAACTATATAATAATATATTATTATAATAATTTTGGGCAAGTATGATACCTGACCTCAAATTCCCTACACAAAGCCATCCACACACACACACACACACACACACACACACACACACACACACACACACACTCATATGCACTAAAATGACAGCGAAGGGCCATGATTGTTTCTTGTATGTCAGCTCGGGCCTTGCCCTGACTCCCAGCCACACATACCTGCACTCACTCTACCCACCTGTCAGCCAATCTACTCCGGCCCTAGGGTTAATAACTCAGAGCTTAATCAATGGTAACTCACCTCACACAGACTGTTCCAGACGCTCACTGTCAGTGCACTGTGTTCGCCGCTGAGACTTCAGAGATGGGCCGAGTGATACAGAGACGGAGAGGGAGAGGAAGCACGATAATGGAGAGAAAGAGGAGAATGAGGTGAGGGAGAACGCCCCACACCCTCCCCTCTCTCATCTCTCCACCCCAGAAAACCGGTTGGGGCGGTTATCCCCTTGAGCAACACAAACACCGAGGCCTGGGCAAGTTCTCCCTTGATATTCCTGTTCTGCTGAAATCCCACATAACCGGCTAAACCGGGCGCATAAAGCCCTGAGGCGATAGAGAGACAAAACTGATTAGAGAAAAGAAATGTCCAGCACAGAACTCTGCAGTGGTGCGTTTGAATCAGAAGTTACATTTTCATTTGTTTAAATCATAATAAACTTTAAATATTGGGGTGATTCATGAGAGCATGATGGTGTAACAAGCAGTATGAAAGACTCCTAAACTTTACCTCACTCACGCAGGTGAGTGTCTTAGCAACTATAGTGTCCATTGTTCTAATTTTCAACAAAGAAGCCATACATTCAACACTGTACATACAGTGTATACTGTATATTTAGACTGTCATATGTCTGAAATGAGCCATAAAGCAGCGACAGGGTGTGGTGGATCTGATGACTGTGATACCGGTATGTAAATTCACAAACAAACAACAGACAATTGCACTGGCACATGCTTTGTCTCTGAAAACCAGGTATGATGCATGTTCCATGTGAAAAATGCCATTTCCTGATTCCTGAACCAGATTCCTCACGACTTGCCTAATTTGGTTGAGGCAGCATCTTCATCTTTATTCTACTAAAGACTACCACCCCCTGCTGCCATAGGTACCACAATATCTACACCTACAGTGTACGAGGGTTAACAATAGGAACATATGATTACATGTTTTTATTGTCATGTGTTCACTGATGCAAAGTGATATTTAAATTGACACAAATCCAACTGTAAATAGTGTGAGCGCGCTGGGTGACAGAAATGTTTCATCAACATGAGAAGAATTTAAGAGCTGAATTTCCTGATTCCTGAACCAGATATTTGAACAAGTCGCAAACTGACCTTACGTCACCCATTGGTTTATGAGCTGCCATTTTGTAGCGTCGAGTTTGGCTTAATGGACGTCGCCATCTTGGTTTTATGGAGCCAGAAGAAACCACATTTGGGTGAGAGGGTGGAGCTGGGGAGGAGTGAGGGGTGGATCTGACCCGTGTCCCCGAGGGCGCTAAGTACGCCCACCTCCATCAGCAACCTGACGGCAACAGGCTCCTGGCTGAGCCTGGGAAGATGCTGCTAACACGGCTAGCTGTCACATACTAACTGTTAAATTAGTCTTATAGGCTAATTGCATACATCCAACATCCATTTGGCAAATATCATATATGTGAGGAGTAACTTAACTGATGTTATAGTAGTTGAAGTTAGCATGTGTGCTAACGTTAAACTGTAAAACCATAGTGTAAAACGTATTCTACTCTTGTGTTTTAAATTGGTTCTGCAGAACATGAACAGACTTCAGAACAGTTTCTCCCTCAAACCGTGAGTCTGCTACAGGTAAACTGTGTCACACACTAAGACTGATGATGAGTAACGGCTCCTGGACTTTTTGCACCTTACCTCCATCACTCATGGACAGCTGCAATAGCTTACAGTCCTGTCAATAGACTGTTGCACTATCCTTACTTAGCTATGAAGTATTAATTTTAAATGTCTACTATAATTTATACTTGTTACTAAATAAGATTTATCCACCTCTCTTTATTATGTAAACTTGTCTTGTGATGGTGAAGTTCACCTGTTCCTTCATTCACAACTGTATTTTATTTTTAATTTGTCAGTTACAGTTGATTGTAAATTGCACACATTATTTAATTCATCCATGTATTACTTTCTTTTGTACATCTCTCCAGTGGTGTAAATTGTTGAAATTAATGCAGTTTTAATGTGAAATAAAGTTTTTTATGAAGCTTTGCTTTGTTGATGGTTTTTATGGAGCATGTCTGGTATGAATTTTAACAGTAGCAGCACGGTATAGAAATTACACAATACATTGAAGTTTTTCCTGAATTTGTAATTAATCACAAGACTTTCTATAAGGTCACAGCATCACATCTATTACGAGTCTGGTTTTGCTCCAGGTTGCAGTTCTGGTGGGTCAGTTCCATCTGTTTCCTACTGAACACTGTGTTGATGTTAAATTGGTCAATACTTTCACCTGTGAAGGTGGTCACTGCGCTAGAGCTGAACAGATTCTGCTCTTAAAATGTTATTACAATTATTTATCAACAACAGTAGAAATGCAGTAAGAGGCAAGAAACTGAATCTGTGAACACTGAGGACAGAATAATAAACAAAACTTGAAAATTCCTGGAGATATTTTGAATGTGCCTGCTGCTTGCTGCCTGTACTTCACTTCTCGCATTTCAATCTGCACACTGACCTCAGTCACTGCAGGTGTCCCTCAAAAAGCCTTTTGAAGCTCACGACTGGCCAAAATAACCTCACACTGATGGTTTCAAACACAAATTTGTCCCCACAACCACAGCAAGACACGTATACACATACACACACACACACACACACACACACACACACACACACACACACACACACGCCCTAACAGAAGTTGATACCAAAGCTATACCACTATATTCCCATATAGACAATAGCTTCTAAGATGGAACTTTTGTGACCTACCTTACCTCTTACCTTCTTGAGACTCTTATTTTGAAAGTGTATGCTTCTGTGTTTGGCAGTATAAACTGCATAAGGTTTTCTACAACAGAGCCAATAATTCTCTCTTACCATGTTGAAACTTATTTTGAAGGTTAATTCTTATCATGGAGATGGTGTTTGTGTGTTTCTGTCAATAAGTGTGTGTGTGTGTGTGTGTGTGTGTTGAAGTATGACGCAGCTGGAGAGCTCCAAAGAGGGCTGGGTTTGGTCGTTTTGAAGACGTCTCCTCATTCATTCCCTATGGGATTTTTTTAGCCTTTTATAAGCATTTACGTTGCCATGGTTACCTGAATTGCTAAGTGTGTGTGTGTGTGTGTGTGTGTGTGTATATATATACAGTATATTTATATATATATATATTTGTATAGTCTGGGTTTTCTCAAAGCTGGGAGACTAGTTACATGCCAAAATTTTGATACAGAAGATGACTAAGAAGAATAAGTATGCAGAATAATAATATGCCTTCAAGGCTCCTGCGTTGCAGGCACATAACTAGGAAATTCCTGAAGAAACTTTGCTCTTCTACAGCTCAGGAAACAAAACTGGGATTCTCATTTCAGCTTCACTTTAGTTTCTATTTTGTTTGAAATGCTGTTTCTCATATTTTTCTGCTAAATTTCACTAGGATAAATAAGTGAGACACGACAACTTGAGACTTAAGGAGATTCCCTGCTGAACTCCATTCAGTGTTTGTAATGGCTCCTTTTATTCTGGTTTGTAAATGAAATTGAACGATACTAGAGCTGCTATGGAGCAACACGTGAGGCTACATGGGAAAGTGGTCTCAGACTTTTGGACACCACTGTATATAAACTAACCCTATACTGAGAGGTGTTCCTAACATTTTGTCCATCCCATTTATAGGATTCAGTAAATACTGAACATTATAATCCTCATGAAGGAGGATTTACTGCAGGCCTGTTCCATTATACTGCATTAGTTTCATCCAGGTTCACCTAATACATATGTATAAAAGACACTTACAAATGCTAAAACACATCAGCCCTTTATTTAAAGTTTACCCAATATACAGCAACTCTTAATAAATGCATTCCTTTGAACAGAATGGTAATGGGGTTAATGGGGCAGAAATAAGTGAAAAGAAGGACGGAGGACCTGCAGCCTGCTGACATCTTTTTTACTGGATGGGATACGACATCGAAGGAGATCAGAAAGGTCAAATTTTCTAGTTCTATTGTAAATTCTAGCAGCAGCACGTTCTGACCTTCTCATCGTCTCTCACTGATGCCTATAAATAAAGCTGACTTGAATTGAATGCCCTCACATAACAGTGTAATGTTTATTTTCATCCACAAGATGGCCCAGCTCAACCTTGAAGCAGAGGGACGATGAGCGCAGGTCTGGGAGAGCAGAAAAGTTTTTGAGGCCTTTCAGTTTATGATGACACAAAAACTTTCCCATTCTCCACCAGAATAGGGCTGGTAATGAATGACTCTCCTGTGAAACAGTAGGAGTAGTAGAAGAAGTCACATTTAGAAGGGCGAAGCCATTTGGGTGGTTTGGGAAGCTGAGCAGGCAGCTGTGAGTGGAGTGTGTGCAGAGTGACCCAAGGGTGAAAGGTCAAGCCTGCAATTGATCGCTGTCCAGGTTTTCTCTTCTGCAGAGAACTAGCTTACCTCTCAGTGGTCAATAGGATAGAATTACAATAAAATCTGATGTGAACATTATGCAAAGAATTATCCCGCTCAGACTTTTATGGTCACTTAAAGGTTGATTATGTCACCTTTTGTGCACAGTTCAGCTTCCAAGTAAAATGGAAAGTGTAATATTTATTTTCCATCCAGTTTTAGGTTGTGCAGTTATGAACTGATAGGGGAGAAGTGCAGTGCAGCACAGTTCAGCTGTCCCTCTGTTCGACACAGCCAATCCAAGCGGAACATGAGTAACATGAACAAACAGAAAGCTGCAACAAGACAATCCTATCAGAATATGTGTGTATTTTACAGGGTGAGTCTGTCTCAAGGGCTTTTGGGTACAACAACACAGACCTTAGCTAAGTCTGCGAGTGTGTGAATGTGTGTGAGAGTGTGTTTGCCTGTCTAGGTCGACGAATTCAGTTAAAACTGTTCATTGAGAAACTTGTTTTTTAATGTTTCTGAGACATTTAACAAACTAAAAACAAAAGCAAAAATTCTTGGAACAGAAATAAGATTATAATAATAACTGTATTTTCCAGAGTAGAATTAAGTAATGTGCAAAGAAACTTTGCTCTTTGCAACTCTCTGCTTTGGTTTTACAGCCTGACTTCGTCTTGAAGGGGCTATTTGTAAGTTTCTCTGCTGCATCATTGCATTTACAAG